CATCCAAACATAATAAAACACTACACTAAAATCATATGTGAAAACGTGCGTTGTAAAATTATATAGGTCTCATGTAGTAGCCGCCCTCGTTTGAAACCAATAATGTCACCCCATGTCCATTGTTCTGCAGGCATTAGATTCCGTTTCGGGGCCAATCACAATACAGCCAAAATCGGTCCATTGTTAATTTTCACGTGAATTAAAGTCGAAATGAACGACTAATAGGATTGAGTCTAGTAAAAGGAACTAATCCTTCACAATATAACGAACCAAGATTCGAATCCCAATTGGAAGAGGTGTCTACATTTAGTATCCAATAGTGTCTTGAATAGAATTACCTCCAATAAGAGGATACCTATGTTTTAGCAAAAAAAAAAAAAATTGAAGTGAACATTTTTTTCAATGTAAAAAGTCCAAGATGCCTATGATGCATGTTGTCGTAATAAACAACGTGTGCAGATTTTCACAATTCAATATATTACTTCCAGTTCTAAATATAATATTTAATTTATAATATAATTTGCACTATAAACTAGATGTAAAACAGTGCAAGTCTTTAATAAATGATGACCTTGCCTTCCCAATGGTCACACAGCTAAACCTAGAAATCGATGGGTCAGTCCTTCGTAATGGTACAAGTGGCTGTGGAAGAATCATAAAGGATGAGAAGGATAGCCGGATTTGTGGTTTCGACAGAAAATTTATGTTGGTTTCTCCATTAGAGCCTAGCTCATGGTAATCATGATGAACTTGTGTTGGTCCAAGCGCTTCAAAATATAATATTCCTCTTATTTTTAATATAAAATCTAATTAACTAATTTGAGTAGATTAATGATGTTAGTTAAATTAGTCAATGTGATGTGTGTTTTCTAAAACACCCTAAGTTTTTTATTTAATTCCCTCTCCATCTCCTACTTGATTATTGTTGAGGGAATAAAAATAGGGTTAGTTTGAAAAAAAAAATAATAAACATGTAAAATAAGTCTTATATATATGATCAATATTAACTTTTTAATTAGCTCTTATATTAAGAATCGAAAAAGTAATTTATTTTGATTGTATAGAAGCCATTGGTTTATGTTTTAGGATTTGTGATAGCTCTCAGCCTTTTAAGAACATTATTGATGATGCTAGATTAATCATAGGTAGGGATCGGCAGGTTTTATTGTTATGTAACTCTAGGAAAAACCTAGCCACAATTAATTATCTTGCGAAACTTTTCCAAGGTTGGATGGTAACTTTTATATTCACTAGGAGGCTTAAATTCTTGTATTGTTTAATGTTTGATTCTTAATGAACTCGAGTATTTATTTATAAATAAATAAATAATGATATGAAAAAAAATTAGTTGTCAAAATTTTAGCACTTGGTTGTCACTGTTTGAACACCTATTTATAAGTTACCGAACAACATGTTATCTTTGTAATTTTGTATCAAAGGTATTTTAGAATATTTTCACTTCAATCTTACGGACGTAGGAAAAAATTTTGGAATTATATAAAATCAAAATATTACTCCTCTGGATTTTAATAAAAAATTTATTTAACTAATTTGATTAGATTAAGAAAATTAGGTAATAAGTTAGTTAATTATAATAAATATGACATGTTTTCTTAAAATACCATGATTAATTCCCTTAAATATAAAGAAGTTTTACTTTACTTCCATTTGTATTTCTTTCGTTACATACACGCACAGAAAAGTTTTACCTGATCCTTGCTTAAAAGCAGTTAATAATTAAAATTATAATTGTTTTAGTAACTATAATTTTTAACATTAATAATTAATTATTCGTTTCCAGGATGAGAGACAAGATAGAATGTGATTAATTGAAGCACTTACAATATCGATTATAAGTAACTTGCCCTAAGTTTTAATGATAGTCTGATAAATAAAAAAAATACTAAGTATGGGATTATATCTATATCCAAATAACGGTGTCCAGGTGTCCCTTTGATGTCCTCAAGCTTAATATGAACAATAAACGTACTGTATATTCATGTGCCTTGTCCTCCATGTAAATTGGGGTCCTCAAGCTTTATAAATCAAGATTGGGCCAATATATTGATTCCCACGTGAAAATAATGCACTTCCAAATCATCACACGTAGGTTGCGTAAAAATTCTGGATTTTATCATTAATTAATGGGAAAATGACCCTAAAAATACCTTTTGAAATTTGAAAAGATAAATAAGCCATGAAACTAAGAGAAATGACTAAATGAGTATAAGGTAGGAATATAGGATTTGCAAAGTTTGATGAAAAGACTAAAATGTCACTGAAGTGAGATGAAAAACATCTCATGCTTTTGGGTGTTATTATAATCAGGCAAGCCTTTGACAACATTTACAAGGTGATTGACAAATTTTAAATTGAATTTGATCATTTTCATAATATATTTTGTAACGTGTTATTGGCTATTAACAAACTTGGTGAAACTCGGAGGGATAGAGTTGAAGAAAGTTACCAAACATATAACGTAATTAACCATTTGTGAAATGAAGTTAACCATTTTCATAAAACATTTTGTAATCTGTTATTAGTCTTTTTCCGACAATTTTACTAAAGATATAATGTGATTAACAACTTGAGAAATGAATCTAACTATTTCTATAGCGTGTTTTGCAACTTATTATTAGTTATTTCTAGGCAATTTTACTAAACATATAATATAATTGACAACTTGTGAAATGAATTTGATCATTTTCATAACCCACTTTGCTATCTATTATTAGCCATTTTCAAACAATTTTACTAAACATGTAATGTGATTGACAGTTTGGGAAATGAAATTGACTATCTCCATGATGTGTTTTACAACTTGTTATTAGCCATTTCCAAACAATTTTACTAAACATGTAACGTGATTGACAACTTGATAAATAAAGTTGACCATTTCCATTTCCATAACCTATTTTGGTATCTATTATTAATCATTTCCAAACAATTTTACTAGATATGTAATGTAATTGACAGCTTGCGAAATACATTTGATCATTTTCATAATACACTTTGAAACTTGTTATTAGTAATTTCCAACTTGGTGCAATTTGAGGAGATTGAGTTAGACAAATTGACTAGACATGTAACGTGACTGACAACCTAAAAGATGCATCTAATCATTTTCATACTATTGACTTGGTCAATTTTCACCGAATATAACCTCTTGGAGGAATTGAACAAGAGGGTAAATGTTTTGAAAAATTAGTAGATAGTAGACTAATACAATTAAAATATATCATAATAAACATGTTGACAGTAACTTTCATGATTTACTATACTTGCAATGGAATTTACCACTAAAGTAATAGTATTTATAAAAAACCAGCAGTCCCATAACAGCAACTACACCATATATATTTAAATGACAAGTTAATATTAAGATTAAACCAAGATCAAATACTCCTCCGGTCTTTAATATAAGATCTATTTAACTAATTTGATTAGATTAAGAAAGTTAGGTAAATTAGTTAATTATAATAAATGTGACACGTTTTTCCTAAAATACCATAATCATCTTTCTTAATACCTCATCTCCCTCTTCTACTTGATTATGGTTAAGGGAGTATCCATAGGGGTAATTTAGAGAAAATTGATAAATATAAAAAATGGATCTTATATTTAAAACCAAAACCAACTCAATAATTGGGTTTCATATTAAAGACCAGAAGAGTAGTTTCTTATCATTGAAGCCACAAAACATATCCCATAATATTAAATGAGGAAACATGGTAGAGTTTGTAATTGGTAAAAGAAGGGAGGTGGGTTTATAGATGGTTGGGAAGAAAGGAAATAAAATAGTGAAGGTGATTGCGAAGTGCATATTCAAATGGACATGAGTTGGTTTTGGCAGGCGTGTGTGAAAAATACTCGTGTTTGTGTGTGCATGAAGGAATAAGAAGGCAAGGAAAAACAAAAAGATAAATAAGAGCGTGTCAATAAAATTTGGTTGATGCGCTCATTTTATTTCCTCGGTCTCTTTCTTTATACAAACTTTAATCCACCCATTCACTTCTGTAATTGCTTGTTTCACTTTGATTTTTCATTCCAACCATCATATCTTTTTTCGCCTTCGTTTCCCTGTTCTCCCCACTTCTTCCTCTTGGCTTGTGGACAAATTAGTGCCCAACTTATCAAAATTGAGTCGCACTCACTTCCATCCCCTCTTTTTATTTTTTGCCGTAACACTTCCATGCCCTCTACACTACGCAACACCCCCATTTGAAGAAGAAGACAACCTGAAGGAGGAGAGAAAAACGCTCTCTTATTTTGAAAATTTGAGCAGAGAGAAGACAAAAGTAAAATGAGAGAAGGGCATGAAAGTAATTTACCAAATTTGCAAATTCCAAATTAATACCTGTAGAATTATTTGTCCTTTATGAAATTTGAAATAATAATTTGAAATTTTAGAATTCAAATAGTATTTATATGGGATTTTCTTTTAATTAATTTTAGGAAGAATATAATTTAATTATGAATATTTTCTGCATTTGTTTCTATATAAAAACAGTAAAATGCCCATCATGCAAATATAAGATTATTGGTCTCTACTCTCTACTCTCTACTCTCTGGGCAACATATACCAATTTTCATTCACAATTCAATATAAATTTAGAGTGAACCACGACCTGAAAGAAAATTACTTGCAAAATTAGTATAATTGTAAAGCTATAATTCTATGTGAGATAATTCTATAATTGTAAAGCTAATTGGTAAGAATTTGAGTACAAGATTAAATGAATGCACAACAGAAATATAAGTAACAGGTTTATCGATTTCACAATTCACTGCAATATATTAGCGCGTTTTCGACTTAATTAAATGAATGCACAACGGAAATATAATTGCCCAACTTAACGAATTATAAAAAAAATGAAAAATTAGTTTCATATTACTAAACTTGCTTAGCCTCTCAACAACAAATCAAGATCATCAAATGCCTATAAATAGCAACCATCACTGACCAACAACTCACCTATGATCTGCATCTTCCATTCTCAATGGAGCTTCAGTTCCTGTTCTTCTTCTTCCCCGGCATTTTCAAGCCATTGAGTCTCCTTCTCTTCATCATCTCACTGATCACAATCCTATTCAAAGCCAGAAGCAGATCCCAGAAGAATCTTCCCCCAGGGCCATGGAAGCTACCTTTTTTGGGAAGCATTCACCATCTTGTTGTTGGCTCTGATAAACCCTACGTCACCCTCAGAAACTTAGCCCGAAGGCATGGCCCTCTCATGCATCTCAAGCTTGGAGAAAGATCAACCATAGTGGTTTCTTCCTCTGAAGTTGCCAAACAAGTGTTCAAAACGCACGACCTCATTTTTGCTCAGAGACCTAATCTTCTGTGTGCAGAAATCTTCCTGTACAATTCCTCTGAGGTTGCCTTTTCCCCTTATGGAATCCGTTGGAGGCATCTAAGAAAACTATGCACACTCCAATTGTTCAGTCCAAAACGAGTGAAATCATTCCAATCAATAAGGGAAGCAGAAGTGAGAAAAATGGTCAGAGACATTTCTACAAACATCGGGCGTGCAGTGAACCTGTGGGAGAAGATCTATGCAATGACGTTTGTGATAGTGACGAGAGCAGCTTTTGGGGATTCATGTAAAGATCAAGAGGCGTTTATTTTGGCTGTGAAGGAGATGGTGAGGATGGTTCGGGTTCAAGGTTTTTGCGTAAACGATATGTTTCCTTCGCAGAAATGGCTTCCTTTGATCACCGGAGAGAGGCGGAGATTCGAGGAGATTCACCGGAATTGTGACACCTTGCTTCAGAAATTCATCGACGATTCAAAGAGTGGGGACGGAGAAGAAGGAGATCATCAGAGTCTTCTGTATGATCTTTTGAACTTGAGAGATCACAGCGGATCAGAAGAAGCTCGCTTGACAATCAACAATGCCAAATCTGTAATTCTGGTAAGAAAATCCTAACTCCGACCCTAGTTATGATATGATCTTGCTTAGAGTGACAGTAGGTAGTATATGCAGAACACAGACCCTGTGGCTGTGTGTACTTGGCCAATTATTTTATAAGAAGCACCATTTGCCCAAAAATATTTTTAAAAAAACAAGACAAAAAAAGGAAAAATCATTAAAAAAACCGTAAAAACTATAAAATTGCAAATCAGGCATTTTATTAAAAATTTGTTATCATTTACCATTTAATTGTTATCAAAACCTATACAAGTCTTGTAATGGGTCTTGATTTGTGATTTTGCAATTTTCATAGTATTTTTTTTAATTTTTCCAAAATGAAAAGGAAATCAAAGATCTAAACATAATAAATTTTATTATAAATGACTTCAATTTTTTTTGTTTTACATAGCAAAAAGTTTAGACCACATGAACCCAATCATATTAAGTCTTAGGGCCAAAAATCGTTTACAGAAAACATATAAATTATTTATCAACAAGGTTTTTAAAGATTTTTAAGAGATAATTTATTCCTTTATGTAGTGGAATATTAAGTGGACCTAAAAATTTTAAATTATTTAAAAATTATTACCTTAAACTTCTTTTTTTAAAAAAAAAAAAAAGACAAAATGATTTTCATTAAAAAGATCAGTCAGAGTACTCAATAAGAAATATGACAGAATTTATGACTATACATTCTAAAGGAATAATTTTGATTGCAAATCTTAAAAGAAAGAGAAGAAAAAAGACTTGTATTATTTGAGAAATATCATGCCGTAAAGTAGCTTTTGGTGAAAAATGATGGTGTCCGGAAGACGAACTTGCTTATTGACAGTAACCATGTCTGAAGCTTCTGATTCCAAATGGATTCCAGGCTATTAACTTAAGCTTCTTAATTTACAAACTACTTTTAAACTACGACCATCAAAATTTAGATTTTAATTTATTAGCAAGCTCATTAGAGGAAACTATAGACGATCATGAGAAATTGTTGATGTTCAAGTGATAAACATATGGTTGTTTTCTCCATTAAATTCATAGGACGTGTTCATTGCTGGAACCGAAACATCATCCACATTGCTACAATATGCAATTCTGGAATTGCTGAGAAACCCAAAACTGTTGCGCAGAGCACAAGAAGAAGCGAGGCAAGTGTTTAAGAAGCAAGGGTACGTGAATGAAGAAGAACTTGAGAAACTCAAGTACATGAAAGCTGTGTTGAAGGAGACGTTGAGGCTACATCCTCCATTGCCATTGCTGGTTCCAAGAGAGAGCAGTGAGATATGTGAGATTAGTGGCTACACAATACCCCCAAAAACACAGACGTTTGTGAACGCATGGGCCATTGGGAGGGATACCAATTGTTGGGAAAGAGCCGAAGAATTTTTGCCAGAGAGGTTTTTGGATTCTGATGAGATTGATTTTAAAGGCTCCAACTTTGAACTCATCCCTTTTGGAGCAGGAAGGAGGATTTGCCCTGGAATCACTCTTGCTCTCGCTAATGTTGAGCTTCCTCTTGCTAATCTTTTGTTCCATTTTGACTGGAAACTTCCTCTTAGTGGGCACGCTACTCTTGATGAGAATCTCTCTGCCATTCCTATTTCTTATCATCACACCGCCTCTTCAATTCTACAAAGTCGTTGATCACCTGGGAGAAATTCTTGAGCCATAGTATAAGTCACCTACTAAATTATTAATTAGTAGTTAGTAATTATCATGTTTTAATTTTACCTTTTATTTATTGGTGATACACATTGGATATGAAGAAAGAAGAGAGAGGCGAGACAGATTTAAATAGATGTAAAATCAAAACTTCTTTCAATTTATGATAGAATTAATGAGTTAATCACTAAGTGCTGCAGAGGGAATAAGTTTTCTTTACTCACCTCCTGATTTGGCTGTCAATTTTGTTCTGTCTGATATAGCTCAGTAGTTTATTGCTGTTTGTAACCAAAAAAAAAAAAAAGAGTTAATCGCTCTTCTTTGATTCGAATAAGATAATTAGAAGTGACTTATATTTTAAACTGAAAAGAACCACAGATATTACTGCATTATTAATATATGTAGAGTCAATGTGGCTCCTATATATATGATCTCTTTCCTATGAGAGCGTCTAAACAGGGAGCACTTTATTCATGTAATACAAAACAAAACTCCCTAGCAATTGTGTGGTTGACATCAATCTTGGGAAACCCTGCAAAAGTCCAAGATCCTATAGACAGATATGTATCCTCTCATTGCCACCACATCAAATAATCTTACCATTTATGTTGATCGTGTGTGTGCCCGCGCGCGATTGTCATCAATGTACCATTTACAAAATACAATGATAAATAAAAGTTAAAAAATTAATAATTGAATTAAATAAAAAAATTAAGAAAAAAGAGTACAACGGTCTCAACTCTCAATCTTATGCAATCTAAGGACTCAAGCTCAAAAGCTTAATTCTTATTGTTTGAGCGACTCAAGGCCATGCTGATAAGCCCAAATGATTATTTTTCTGAATTTATGTTTCACATCATCACATACAAAGTCCAACTTTCACAATACAAATCTAAAGAACTACATATAAATGTTGTAAAACCCAAATTGCACAATACAACCAAACAAAAATCATCAGGAGCAGGGCCGCAGATTGCCACTGCTTGAGTAGAACAAATGAACAGTGAGAAAGACCAAGAAAAGAACAAACGAGAGTGTGTGTTGGCTGAGAGCCATGAGCAAGTGAGAGTCAGAGAGTGCAATTATTTGAACTTGAGAGGCAAAATGTGCGTCATTAGGATTTGGAACTCAGGCAGACAATTAGTTAAAATTAAGCATTGTGAGAATAAGATATGTTAAAAAGTAATTAAAACAGAAATAAGCTTAATGTCCAGCCTGACCCCTTTTTTCAGAGCCTTTAATCCTAAACCTAAACGCTTTCTTTCTTCCTTTTTTCCTCTCAGTTTTCAACCTGGCCCGAGAAGAGATTGCATCGGAATTCCTGGCTATAGATATAAGAGATTTGTAGAGACCGATATTGTGCCCATATTGAGTTCTATCGCTGGGACTGTCCACAATTTATAAATTCAAAGAAAATACTAAATGACGCCATGCGGATGTTCTTTGTGATTGATTCAAATGTTTGAACTACTTCTCAATTAAATTTTAGTTATTATAGAACCGCCTATTTCATTTTTTAAGAATGTTTTAACTTCGACACATTGTTCACACACACATACACACATAATAAAATTTGGTGGCCCCATTTGAAAGACAAGTAGTTTGGTCCCCATAATTTAATGATTTGGAAAAAAGAATCCCAAGATTATTATCCCTACCGAACAAGATCAACAAAATGACTATAAATAACGTGTATGCATGCACGAACGTAACCCACACAACTCACCTGATCCCCATCTTCGTTTCTTCGTGGAGCTTCAATTCCTCTTCTCGCCTTCCATTTTCATGTCTTTGAGTCTTCTACTCTTTATCCTGTCTTTGATGATCTTTCTCAGAGTCAGAAGCGGATCTAGAACCCACAAGAACCTTCCCCCGGGGCCAGGGAATCTTCCTTTTCTGGGAAGCATACACGATCTTGTTATTGGCTATGATAAACCCTACGTCACCCTCAGAAACTTAGCCCAAAAGTATGGCCCTCTCATGCATCTCAAGCTGGGTGAAAGATCAACCATAGTGGTTTCCTCCCCTAAAGTTGCCAAACAAGTGTTCAAAACCAATGATCTCATTTTTGCTCAAAGGCCCAATCTTCTCAGTGCAGAAATCCTAATGTACAATTCCAGTGAGATTAGGTTTACGGACTCTACTGGAAGCATATAAGGAAACTATGCACGCTCCGACTGTTCAGTACGAAACGAGTGAGGTCATTCCAGTCCATAAGGTAAGCAGAAGTGGGAAAATTCGTAAGAGACATTTCTACAAATAGTGGGTATGCAATAAACCTGAGCAAGAAGATTCGTGCCTTGACGTTCGTAATTGTTACGAGAACAGCTTTTGGTGATCCATCCATAGATCAAAAGGCGTTAAGTTCGGTTGTGAAGGAGATGGTGAATAGTGTAAAGGGTTTCGGTGTGAGCGATTTATTTCCTTCACAGAAATGGCTTAATGTGATCACCGGAGAGAGGCGGAGATTCGAGGAGATTCATCGGAAATGTGACGTGCTTCTTAAGAAGTTTATCGACGAGGGAGTATGTAGGAGTATTAACAGGAGAGAAGATAAGAGTCTTCCGTATGATCTCTTGAATTTGAGAGAACACAATGGGAAATCTCCATTAACAATCAACAACGTGAAATCTGTTACCTTGGTAAACTTTGCATGCAACTTTCGGGTTTTCTTTCAAACCTCTTCAACTTGGTGTGTTTGAGTGTCTCCCCAAACCATGGTTTGAGGACCCAAACCATGGTTTGTAGAAAAAATGACCCAAACACCCATAAAAAAATCAAAACCATGGTTTTGACCCCAAAACAATGGTTTTAGAAAAAGCATCTTGAATTTGTTTTTAGAAAAAATTGGAGAGTGTCATGCTTTTGGAAAAAATGTTATAGAATTTCATGTTTAAAATCTTTAAAGCAAATTAATATTTTTCTATTAGAAAAAATAATCATTTTTCTATAAACATATTTAATCTTATAATTTAAAAATATATATACATATTAATTATTTATTAATTATATTATCTTATATATTATTAATTATGTTGGTAAAAATTATTTTATTAACAATTTTATTCCTTCAAATCAAAATATATTATAAAATCTATCCCTTATATAATTGTCATATTAACTTATGCCCTTTTTAGTAATTTGTACATGTAAAAAGTGCTTCTGGTAACAATTATCTAAACATTCTCATTTCTCAGAATCACTTTTTTACAAAATCTATTCTTCAAAAAATCTATTCTCTCCAGAATCTATTCTCCAGAATCACTTTTCTAAACCATGGTTTGGTTTCATCCAAACACACCCTATTGGCTTTGGGGCCGTCATAACTTGTACCCCATTTTGGTAATATATAACTTGTACGTTTTATACTTTTTCGGTTATTAATATAAGATCTATTTAACTAATTTAATTAGATTAAGAAAGTTAGGTAAGTTAGTTAATTATAAGAAAAGTAACACATTTTTTCTAAAACACCATAATCATCTTTCTTAATACCTCCTGTCCCTCTTCTAATTGATTATGGTTGAGAGAGTATCTATAGAGGTAATTTAGAAAAAATTAATAAATATGAGAAATGGGTCTTATATTTAAAACTAAAACTAATTCAAGAATTCGGTTTTATATTAAGGACTGAAGGAGTATTATATAGCTATAATATATTACTACCTCCGGTCCTAATAATTATAAGACCCAGTTGACTTATTTGAAGAGATTAAGGAAGTAAGTTAAGTTAGTTATTTGTAATAAATAAGTATTGTCATTCTTAAAATATCCTTGCTAATTAAGTATATTGGCTAAAACTATCATTATTAGAAGGATTATCTTGGAAAAAAATACATAAATATGAGAGACAAAATGGATTGGGGTCTTGTAATTAGGACCAAACAAAAAATCAAATGGGGTCTTATAATAAGGACAGGAGGTAGTAATATTATAGTGCATGCGCCTAAGTATTTCCTTTTAGCTAACCCTTGATGCTTTCAAAATTGAGGGACTACTTTAATTTTTTTTATTTTTTAATCATATTTATCTCCCTCAGCATTTTAAAATCATAATATTCAAGCTTTCTTGAATTTCAACAGGTTTTTAGTCTTTTTAATTTTTAGTATTGTAACTCTCGTTATCAAAAGGAAAACAAAATAAATTTTTAGAACTTATACGTGGTTTTTCTTATCAAGAAGACCCAAGCCTAACGAGACCAGCCTTTAGTTTAACCCTAGACAGTAATTAGATAGTTATCATCACTTAGGCTTCTCTAAAATTTTTTTCCCAAAAAAGTTTGAATTATTACTGTCAATTTTTTAGTGTCAACTTTTAAAATAACAGTAATGTGAAATTGTGAATCATCAGTGACAGATTAATTAATGACATTTGGTCCTTTATTAAAATTTTATAATTTTTTTATTTCATTTCGTTTATTCTATGTGGGTGTGTGTATATATGTTTGCACCATATAGCGCACTAGAGAATTTGTTTAGCCTACAATAATTGAGAAAAACCGCAAAACTTTAATAATAATTAATGACTAAACAAAGTTTTAAAAATTCCATACATTTTAAAAATAAAAAATGTAAGCTTTAATAAACAAGAGGAAACAAACTTTCCGAACACAAGTGATTAAAAGATAAAAAATTTTGAAATGGCTGATGGTTCAATAAGCTGCTCTCATATTCTGCATGATTCTCCAAAATAAATTACAGAACGTATTTGTTGCTGGAACTGAAACATCATCGACACTGTTACAATACGTAATTCTGGAATTGCTGAGAAACCCAGAATTGCTGAGAAGAAGCGAGGCAAGTGTTTAAGAAGAAAGGGTATGTGAATGAAGAAGAATAAGAACTCGAGAAACTCAAATACATGAAGGCTGTGTTGAAGGAGACGATGAGGCTACATCCTCCAGAGCCATTGTTGATTCCAAGAGAGAGCAGTGAGAGTTGTGGGATTAATGGCTACACAATACCCTCAAGAACTCAGGTGTTTGTGAATGCCTGGGCCATTGGGAGAGACCCAACTTGTTGGGAAAGAGCCGAAGAATTTTTGCCAGAAAGGTTTTCGGATTCTGAGATTGATTACAAAGGCTTCAACTTTGAGCTCATCCCTTTTGGAGCAGGAAGAAGGATTTGCCCTGGAACCTCTCTTGCCAATCTTTTGCTCCATTTTGATTGGCAACTTCTCGCTGGACATTCTGCTCTTGATGCCGATCTCTTTGCCATTCCCATTTCTTGCTATCCTGCGCCATTTCCGTTCAAAAATTGAAAAGCTGTTTTAGACTCGATATATATATATATATATATATAATTTTTAGCGAAAATATTGCAGCTTCTGGGTTGTGTTTCTTTCTAGTATTTCTCATTTCGTCAATCTCTCCGTATATAGTGTGATGATTTGGCTGTAGTCGTTTATATTTCAGAATGAAGTGTTCTAGATGGGCAGGATCCATCATATTATATAAGCGTTCATTTATTCAATCTCTCCTCCAAGATTTATGAAAACTTTGTACCGCATATATATACATTACATACACATATACATATGTATATGCTTTCCTCACATTTGGTTTTGTCCCGACCAATTAGCTAGTTTTGTGATGTAACCCGTTGAATCTGGGTTACAAAGAAAGGCCTCCGAAAAGACCGAGCCATTTGTTGGGCCTTCGCTCCTTTTTGTGCCCCCTTTTTTTTGGTACGGTCCTTTTTGTGGCTTTAATCAAGGACCTGTACTGCACTGTGTTAGCTTCGTCCGATGAAGACACAAATATGGGGAGCGTCCTTTCATCTCTAGTCTGCCCCCCTGAAACCTACCTTCCACGACACAAGTCCCACAATTTACACACACGTCGCATCTCAGGAAAATGATGGAAAAGTTATAACCCCTCCACTCCATTTTTTATTATACGAGACGATTAACTGAATTATATTAATCAAAAAAATGATTAAAATTAATTAAAAATAAAAATAATAAGTATAAAAAAAGTAGTTTATTTTCCAAAAACATCCTCATCTATAAAAAAATGTGGGTAGAACAGAAAATAAGTGAAACAAGAATGAGAAAATATGTGGAAGAAAAAATAATACGGGAAATATGTAATTAATTGAGAGTAAACATGAAAAAAAAAATCAAATGTTTAAACATCTCCAGGATATCTCTTATAAAAAATAAAAAAAACATATCCCTTCAAAAAAGTGTCTCTTGTGAATAGGGTGCAGGGAGTATATTGGTAATTATAATCACAACTTGCACACTTCTATTATATATGCATACGCGCGTGTGTGTGTATACATATATATTGGTTATTAGGATCCCACTACTCATTTTGCTTCGCAACATTGAGTTATCTTCCCGCCGGATATTGCCAGTACCGATGTGACATCCATCCGTTATAATACTAATAATATGTGAATTTAGCGTTGAAATCACGAATTGATTGTCTATCAAGTAAGCCTGGTAAATTTCAGCCGTTCGATTCAGAGCGGGGAATATTGTATGCCGACACGGCAGAACTTCCCCACTTACTGAATCGAATAGTTATGACTTACGAACCACTCCCAATAAACTTAACTCAGGTTATCTTGTTGGTAAAGTTGGATCCGATAAAGTTGTTTGCCTTTATTTTCAAAGTTGAATGCCCTCTTTTTTCCTCTGCTGGGAACTTTGCCCCCACGCCCTATAATTATTTACTTTGGTTGAATGATATATCCTTTTTTTTTGGGGTGGGGGTGGGGGTGGGGCAGTGGTTGGCCTTGTTTGCAAGAAAACAGCTAAAATTCTCCAGGAAAAAGAGAGGAGAAAAATTGAAGAGCTACTCAAAAAAGTGAAGGGGCAAAGAGAAGCACAGAGCCGATAATAAGAATAATAATTTTCAAACAAAAGCCTCAATATTCACAACTCCTGGATAGTGAGATTCCTTGTACATTTTATATTTTGTATGATATGATCACAGGGTTAAATCAGAGGACTAAACTTCGACAACCACAATGGTTCAAAAGCTTATATGACAAAAAGGGACTTTCTAACATAGGAATGCCAAAGTAAGCATATAACCTTCACATAGAAAACTTGCGTGCAAATCATTGCCAAGATAGATGAATTTGGAAACTCTTGCAAGAAATGCATCACCAAACTCCACCCCAAAAAAAAAAAAAAAAAGGACGATTAAAAAGAGTGCAATTTCTCCAACAGTACCTCAATAAACAGGTAGATGATATCATGGGCCACAGCCACAGCAAGACCTTCATGTCTTATTAAGAGGTCAAGTGGTAAAATTATTGTCAAGATACATGACATTCGAGACTTCAGCCAGAAATGCATCATCAAACTCTACCAGGGAGGGAAAAAAAAAAAAAACAGGCAATAAAACAGAGTGCAACTTCTTCAAGAGCAGCTCAATAAACAGAAAGATAATACCTCCAATTACAGCATTATGTCACCTCCTCTCAAACTGAGATTCGTGGCAATGCGGATCTAGCCAGTCCTTTGGGGACCCCTTTGCCATACCCCTACTTTCTCTACCACCACCCACAAGCTCTCTCAGATTATCTATCTTATTCTCCCTGCCCATCCCGCTACTAGTCTTCTTATCCGCTTCTTTCAATTTCTGCTTGAATCTCTGCTTTCGGCTCAACGAGTTTAGTTCTTGCTGTTTTGAGTGAGATGGAGGCGCTCCGTGAGGTCCCAGATAAATGTTCTCTTCCTTCTTAGGCTGCACAGAAACAATTAGAGTAAGCATCACACAATGTGTCCAGCCAATTCGATCATCTACCAGCTCCAAATTTATGATTCATCTTTAATTAGAAACAACACGAGCTTCGGCTGACCTGTGCAGGAGAATTAGAGGATTCTATAACAGGAGCAGAAGGTCTGCTTTCATCTGAGTTTCCAATTCCCAAACTTGGAATCACAAATCCATCAGTGTCTACAACCAAATAGAGTCACAGATGATAAGTGTGTGTCTGGCGAACAAAGCCATCCCGGTCTAGCACAAGAGACTTATAAACATCAGACGGAGTCTTTTATTATTTTTGGCGAACACATTAGACAGAGTTAAAATGCACCATATCTGACAGGGAACCGAAACAAACCAGCTTCCTAGTCAAAGTCAGAAACTGACAACTAAAGCCCTGTTCAATTTCATACTGTAGCGAATATTCAGGGCTGTAAACTGTAGGAGTTGCATATTCTGCGGCAAATCTTTCAAGGCTATGCGTATTCACATATACCTGGGTGTGGCTGGGCAGTGACGAACATGGTTTTGAATGTATCCAGTATTTTTCTTTTGTTTTCTATTACCACAAGAATGTTATAGACTTTGACGAGTTAGTTATCTTGAAAATATATACCAAAACAAAATTGAAACTCTATTGAGAACTGCTGATATGTGCATTCGAGTATATTATGAATTATGAAACGGAACTGTTTGTCTGTAATAAGAGGAAAAAATGTTCATACTTCACAAATTCACAAACTCACAAGAAAGGATTAACAATGAATTTCACAGTCTATCTACAGTGTGAATTACACGAATTCCGCCCAGATTTAACAATCCATAAAAATCAACAGAATGCAAAACAACTTGGCGTATTAAATTATGTTCTATTCAAATTGAGAAATGAAAAATTACACTTATCAGAATACGACGATCAAATATTCATCCATCCCAACTCTGTTACTGACCCCATCGATGCAACCAAAAAAAAAAAGGAAATTGAAGGAAGATACCGTACCCCACTCATCTTCTTCGTGCTCAACTGGAGGCGTAGTCGGGTGCACCGGGTCCATCGTAGGCTGATGACCATGGATTTGAGCCCCAAGAGGACGATGAAGTCCGAACCGAAGCAAAGACAGAGCGATCAATCAGACCAAACTCCACCAGAACGAATCTCAATAAATAAAGATTGAGAGTCGCAGAATATAACAATAATTATAAAATCCCAAAGCCAGTGAAAAAGATGCTTGCTTTATGCAGGGAATCGAAAGAACAATTAAACCCTAGCCCTAGGGTTTCAGTGTTCATGTTCACGGGCGAATTGAATGGCAGGGAGTCAAGCAGTGAAGGGTAGTTTCGTCATTGCAGAATTAAAGCGGCATGCCTGGGTTTATGCTTTAGATGACGCTGTAAAGATTTGCAACTTAAAGCGGTGACCACTGGATTTGGATGGTTGGTATGAAATTTAATTAATTTTAATTTTAATAAAAAATTATATGTAAAGTTACTAATTAATACTATACACAAATTTAAATATGTATCTAAAAATATTAAATGTTATTTTGAAATTAAAAAAGGACATGTAATATAAAATATTTTTAAAAAAAGAAAAATATAATTAAACGGAAAAATAATTAAGAAAGTGATCGATAAAAAAAAAATTGCACTGAGCAAAATACTTAACTTTTTTACTTTGTCTCTCACAACAAGTTAAGAATTGTCTAATTTCATCCTCTATACTTTTTTTTTGAATTTCATCTTTTACCAATAAGCATTATTTATTCAGTTCTTCGTTCCCCAAAAAAAATATCATTAATATCCCCTTTATCTCATTCTCAAAAGCTATTTAATTTAATTATCACACTTTAGTTAATGTACTAGAAGATGCGATTTAACTTTATTTACGGAAGATTGAATGGAGTGAAATAGTTATCTATAAAGAAGTGAATTAAAATTTTATTTTATAAATAGGGCTCTTTTCTTTGTGATTCCTGTTAGTTTTAGTAATCCTTTTGGTCCCTATAAGCTAAATTTGTAAAAATAATTAAATTAGTTATTTATTAAAATATGCAGTAGTTTCTCTAAAATACTCTTTTAACTCGTTTGTGTTGAAATTATTCATTGATGGAAGCTCGATATAAATAGTTTTAAAAAATTATAAATTTAGAAGACAGTATTTTGAAACAAAATAAACCATTTAATTAGCTTCTATATTTAAAATCAAATAAGCATTATTTTTCTAAAAAAAATTGTTTTATGAGCATATAAAAATGATTTATTTCTTTTGACAGGTAACAATGATTTCTTGTTCTTCACGGGCACGAGCTCATCATTAACATGGCGATTATATGTCTCAATAATCCAATTCCTTTACGCAAGAAATGAGCTCATCAACCCACAGAAGGACCTCACCCTCATCATTATTAGTATAATATCAAGTTGTGCTTAATCAATGGGATCTCAACTATTTATTTGTTTTGCTTTACGTGATTTGTGTTGTTATTTAATTTTCTTTATAATTTTAATTAACTTAATTGACTAGCATCGATTCACATTTTGAGGGGGAAGAAACTGACTTCGAATTGAGAAAATGCAATCCTAATTGCCACTTTTCAAGATAAATAAACTCTATTTAATACAGCAATGTGAATGCAATAATTCCCCTTAGTTTGCTTCAACTCATTGAGTCCTTATTTAGAGCTTCTTATATTAATTTGGTAGGTTAGGAAGACAGAATAAATTAGTAAATTACCACTTCCTATTTTTAATATGAGAACTAATTGACTAATTTGAGTAAATTAAGAAATTTTATTAAATTATTTATTTATAATAAATAGGTGTTGTATTACTTAACATACTCTTATTAGTCATGTGTATTAACTATAATTACCATAAAATCTTTAACATATGTAACTATTACAAAGACTATTTTAAAAAAATGAATAAATATGAGAGACAAAGTGAATTATAGTCTTATATTTAGGATCAAATTGAAAGTCAAATCGACTCTTATATTAAGGATCAGAAGTAGTATAAGAAATATAACATGATATTCCTAAAATACTTATAAATAGCATTAGATTATACATCAATTTGTAAGTTCATTTGAAAAAATAATAATAAATATAAAAGATAAAATAGATTAAGGTTTTTTATTTATGACCAAATTTAATTCCAAACAACTCTTATATTTTGGCTTAAAAAGATCATTACCGTGTGCAAATTTCCTTCAACCCATTGAGTAGTTGCTTATATATGTAAAATTTCAAGAAACTTTTATTGAAAAAGTTGGTGACTTTTTTTACTACAAAATTTAATTATAAGATTGAGACAGATTGTGTGAATGGTATTCATGCCTTTTCTGGTGTTACCATTTTGCGAAGCAAGTCATGGCCCTTGTGTAGGTGATGTGTTTGCCAGGCTTAACGCTAGAGGAATGGAACACCATCCGACACTGTCGCTATAACCTTGGCATGTCTTGAAGAATGGGTTTCCATTATACCCCCCCCCCCCCTCTTGCCATAATTTGCAGAAACATAAATGCCCCTCCTATTGGATCAGGTGGGTGAGAACCCTACTTTTCTTAAATACATAATTTTTGCTGTTCAGAAAGAAATATAATAAAAAGTGATGTTCAAGCTAGTTCATTTGGTTTGATGATCTTTAATATTATTCTGGTGACAAATTTGAAAGCATTACTAAGCTTATATACATTTTTGTTGGTTAGTGCTAATTCTGCTGAGTGATTATTTATATATATACGACAGAAAGCTGAAACTTTTGGAACTAACGTTTGTTTCCTGGGAAAAAGGTTCAATGCCAGCTTTGAAAAAGGTGGTATTATTTTGGTAGGGTGGGTTTCTGAAAACGGGTTATGTTTGGTTGTGGATGAAACAGAAGGAAGAAGCAAGAGGAATGACTTTTCTGGTTCTGAAGGGCTTGGTATTATAAAACTCTCTGCTTTGTGGGGACTCAGGCTTTGTCTCTCTCGCACATGCATTCGCCAACTTCGAGGCTTCGAGGTTGTGAAACGTTGATGGAAATCAAAATTGCCTTCACTGTCTCCGAGAGAGAAACAGTACCTATTTTTTCTCGCGGAGATTACCCAAATTAATATCACCCACCACAGGTATGATCTCCATGATGATGATGAAGAAGCAGCAGTTCTTTAAAGAGACGAATGCAAGTTCACTCCTTTAATCTTGCCCTTTCTGAAAGTTTTCAACTTTTTGCTGGTGAAGCTCTTTTTAATCTTGCCCTTTCTGAAAGTTTTCAACTTTTTGCTGGTGAAGCTCTTTTCCAAAAATTCTCAGAGCTTTTTTCTGCAGAGAATAGTCATGGAGAAAGAAGGCAATATTCCACAACAAAGCCACTCAAGTCTTTGTTCATGTTTAGGTTCATTAGTACTCTCGACTATTCTGGTTTTGTTCTTTCTTTTTTCTCTCTTCCTTTTCTTCCCACTTTCTGAATCTTCTTGGCCCGTTCTTCTCACTATACCTATCGTTCTTCTATCCACACTTTTTCTTGTTGTCACACTGAGAAAGAACAAAGGGTCTGAAGATGAAAGGCTTGCTCAGGAGGAGATGCAGAAAGAAGAGTTACGGACAGAACTTGCTCTGATTAATGAGCAAGAAGCTGAATCTCAGTCAGATTCATCTTTCCCATCTGATAGTGAAAGTACCAATGGGTCAGCCATGGATGAAAAGTTTGAGCAAAATGCTGAGAATACATCACTTCCATCAGATGCTGAAACTGAAAGCATCAATGGTGAAACTGATGAAAGTCTTGAGCTTGATCAGAATAGTACTGGAGTTCTGGGAATCTATGAAAGCTTAGCCTCTGACAATGAAGGAGAAGAAGATGACGACGACGACTTGATTGAAATCAACCTTCCGAGCAGCCATTTCTTGAGTAAAGAACTTAGCCAGAGATTAGAATCAAAGCTGCCAGATTTTCTACCAGAAGCCATGTTCAAGGAGGAAGGTCTGATGGAGCTATTAGCAGAGATTAATGAGATGAATGAAGATGAAAATTTGATAGAGATTGATATTTCCATGGGATCATCCAACACAGCCACATATCAAGATTTGAGGTTAAAGCAGGAAATGCCATTCTCGGCAGATCGGTACAGTGTTGTTACTGATCAATGATGATTCCTTCACTTCTTCAAGCTCTTCAGCTTCCATTTTCATGTTCAGGTTTTAGTTTTAAATTTTCCTACTTGATAATGTCATGTAAAATTTTGTGCTTTCTATCACAGGCCCTCGTAATAACTATAGCACCTTAATTTTACTTCTTGCTCAAAGTGTCCAACAGAAATTAACTTAATCGGCAAAAAAAAAAAAAAAACTGATGCTATTTTTCTGTCAATTCTTTGATTCTTTCACCATGTTCAAACAAACTTGGAAAGTATCCTTGATCACAGGACAATAAAATAAAAGCTTTTTGTGTCGGTTACTATAATTTGAGGTGACTCCTTTGACTTGTATTATGATAATTTGCTGGGAACAGTGAAGATGAAATGATTGGACAATGTTGGGATGTGTCTCAGCATGGCATTGAGCACATAAAGGAGCTTTTTTTTTAATCTAGTGGGGGTAATCAAATTCTTTTGTTCCTATCGTCTTTTACTTTGCACAAAAGTCTTCTTCATTTTCTTTTCACCCTGTAAATCTGTTTTATGATGCAACTCTCTTTGAGAAGTGAAAAAGGTTAAAAAAGAATACTAGCTTCGCTTCTTGTTATAAAACTTAGCCGACTAATTTAGAGAGATTGAGAAAATACTAAATCACTTAAATGTAACATATTTTACATAATTTTTCTAAAATACTTATACATAGGATTAGATAGGGCTGTGTAAAAACCTGGTGGTCCGGTATGGTCCAGTCCAACCCGAGCAAACCCGGACTAGTCCGGTCCAGAAAAAATTAGCCAGAAATAGGACTGGACCGGACTAGTCTCATCAGGCTGGACTGGACTAAGGACTGGCCCTTCAGACTAGTTAGTCCAGTCCAGTCTAACCCGGTTTTTTTAAATTATTATTTATATAATTTTAATTTGGTTTAATTTTTCTAATATAAATTTTTGTCTATTCAAATAATCAAGATTTATTTATTAACTTCCTAAGTACATGCGTACATATAAGATCTATATTAATGAGGATTAATTAATAAAACATAACATTATTGGGAAATTGAAAGAGAATGATTAAATTTGATGAACTTTGGATTAAAATATGTACAAAATTTTATATATCACAGTAAGTTACAATCTTGTCTCCTATTGAAGGAAAAAAAAATTTAAAAAATTAAATTTAGGTCCTAGACTACTTGGACTAGTCCAGGCAGTTCAGAGGACCAAGTCCAGTCCAACCCGACCTCTAGTTGGTATTGGACTGAACCAGACCTCGGGCTGTCTTTTTCAACCCGAGGTCTTTATTGGACCAGACTTCGGATTGAAATAATTTAGTAACTTCCTCAGTTTCTCTAAATTAGTCAACCGGATCTTCTATTAAAAACCATCTAAAAGTTAGGGATGTGCATAGATGAGATTTGTTACAATCCTTGTCAAATTACATGTGTTTCCAATCGTGCTTAGTTTCTAAATTTAGGTGTCTGTTGTTGTTAAAAAACTACATTTAAAATAAAACTATAACAAAAATTATTTTATGATAATGAATGGTACTGGAGAAAAAGTGTTTTTAATAAGAAAAATGAGAAGTGCATATATGCAGAAAAGGAACCATAATTAGCAGATTCTGCAGTCTACAATGTTTATAGTGCATGTCTTCTTATTTCTATTAAAAAAAAATTTCATTCATATCCTTCTTCAATTACATTTTAATACTTTTATTTTGAGGAACTTATGACCACAAACCCTAAACACTCGCGTTTATTTATTAGAAGGCGTTCTTTAACTTTGATTTGAGTCAGCTCCAAAAAACTTTGATTTGAATTATATACTTTTGACTAGCCTGCTTCACATGATCAATTAAAAGAATAGTTAACAGCCAATAGGTTAATTGAGATGATAAACAATCTCATTGAGTAAGAAAAAAAAACACGTTAGAATCCCTGAAAACATATTTGTTGGAAGGTTATTAACCTTCAATGTTTCTGATTTAACAAAGATTAGTACCAAGTCCAAAATGACTTAATAACACCCTGATTTATGCCAAAAAAATAGTTAACAATTAGATTGATAGTTCTTATTATGAAAACAATTATATCAAAGGATCTATAAGATAGTAAAATGGTTATAAATAACAACAACAACAACAAAAATAAGTTACAAAAACTATAACTGTTGTCTATATAATCCAAAAAATCTGTTTTATATATATATATATATTCAAAAAAGAAAAAGGACAGCCCTGGTGCAAATACTGTGGGCCGGAAGCCCACTGCTTTTTGTTCAGTCCAACACAATCCAATGGATTTGACCCATAGTTCTATACTTAGCAATTCCCCCTTTATAATTTTTAGTTAAAAATAAAACTAACACTGCCTTGTGCAATTGCTCAGAGGAAAAAGAATTATAAGAAGGCAAATAAATTTAAAAATAGTACTCTTTTGGTTTTAAATATAAGACCCTTATATATAAGGATCTTATATTTAGGACTGGAAGAGTACTATACTAAATTAATTATATGAGTGTTATTATTTGCATAGGGCCTAATATTTTAGAAGGGAGAAAAAAAAAAACAAAGACAAAAGACCATAATAAATCTAAAATAATTTCACAGTCACATCAAATTTAATTTTATTATATGATACATTGATTGACGATTGATGTTTAACTTTGTTTCTTTTCCATGAAGGAATTTTGAACCTTATGCTTACACTTTACCTAACCTTTTATTATCTGAGATAATGTCTAGATCCTAGACATTTGTTGATGTTTAAACAGCAATTTCCGGCTCATATGAGTTCATGGGACATACTTATTTGGTAAGTTTATAAAACGAGCAATTATTAAAAATTAGTTTTTACACATATAGAGACGCATGCCATGAAGATATTATAGCACAGTCAAAATCATAATAAAAATATTATCATTTTAAAAAAATCATTTTATTACGCTACACGCAGACAACCAGACTATGAAAATCCCTGTCACCGACAGAGAAGAAAGAAAAATAAAATATAAAAAAAAAAAAGCTAAAAATCTAATGAAAATATCCTGGCAACAATATTGACGTTAAAATATTGTCATTTTCAATGGAAAAAAATGACATATCAGGACTTCAAAATTTGCATTAAATAACACTTATAAATAAAAATAACTACAAAAAATGTTTATTTTTCACTACTATTTTAAATGATTCTTCCAATTCATATGACAGACAATTTTTGGTAGGCATTATTAAAAAAAAAAAACCGTGGATAACAAAGATTATGTTCCTCGAAGGACTGAGGATAAAAAATAAACTTCTTTTCTTAATTAAGTTATATGCATAAATGCTGAGACTATCATAATTTTGATTGATTTCTTCATCTTTATTAATTAATCATAAACTATAAAGTTGACAAGATTGAGCAACACCTCCACCATATTCTCCCGCCATTTTCAAGGAAAAGTGTGGGCGCTCGTTGACCCAAAAAACAAAAAATCGAGAATGAAGAAAAGAATTCATTATTTAAAAAATTGTTATCCATGTGGCAAACATGTAATAACTGGTTTTAATAATAGTTCATTTAAACACTTATTTTATTTATGAACTTATTATTCATGCAAAAATTTGAAGTTAATTTGATAATTAGAATAATAAAAATATGTAAACAGGATATGATGAAAATATAATATAGACAAAAGAAAAAGGAAGAGATTAACATGGCATAAAAATGTAAGATTTTTTACATTTTTTGGGGGGAAAAAACTACTTGTAAGCCCAACTAATACTACTGATTTCACTGTTTTATGGATAATAAAAATAATATTTTAAATTTTTTTAAAAAATTAATATGTAAATTTGTCTTATAACCTTTTATTCGTGAGCGTTAACCATTCAAAAAAAAAATTTTATATGCATACTTGACCTGAAAATTTAAAATCATAATAATATTATCTTTTAAATTTAAGAGATTAACGTTGACCGATAACATTTTTATCAGTTGGGTGTAAGGTTGCTATAATTTTAAGCTATCAATGTTTTTGAGCAAAAACTTTTAATACAAATTTAGACCTCAACTCTTTTCAAATTTATAAATTAATACAAGAAAAATCTTGAAAAATCAGAAGTAGTATTAAAACAAACTTAAATTTGTAGAAAATATCCCTTGGATTAGCTTTACACGCTCGTTGGAAAAAAGTAAAAATCTCTGTTGGCAAAAAAAATGAATAAAAAATAAAAAGCTTCATATGCCTTAACAAGATAAATATGTAAAAGATTTCTTCTGGATTACATACACGAAGAAAAAGACACCGCCGTGTTCACTTTAATAAAAGTTTTAAAAAACAAGCATCTCAAATGGGCCCCACAGGCGTCCCGTGAAGGCCGCCACGTGTACACGACACAACAAGTGTGTATTAATCAAAAGAATATAACTTTACCGCTTCAACAAATCTCAACCGTCGATCGCCCACGTACCCAGAAACAACAAATACCAACCGTTGATTTCGTTGCCGTTCCGGATTGCTGCGACGCACACGTCCACCGTGGCAGTTAACTGCATTTAAAATCCGCATTTGAAGTCCGAACTGTGTACATTGTCGGAAATAACCTCCACGACTCTGAGAGAGTGGCATTGAGCGAATGGGATCGTGACCGAGATATGTTATAGTGAGATAAACTTATTATACTCTCTGTTCCAGCGAGACTTCAAAGGTATGTTCTTGTTTCAATTCAATGCTTCGAATCTGTATGCTTCAACCCTTGAATTGCTCTTTTCTTCTTTGCCTCAGTGTTTTCAGCAATTGTTTTGTCCCTGGTTTTTCATGTTCTCGTTTGGTTTGAATTGTTGGTGGTGGGAGCCTTAGGGCTCAGGAGGGAACTTCTTTTGATAATTATAGCTCTATTTCTTCATATTTGATTGTCTGGGTTGAAATTGAGTACTTTTTTCTGTTTGGTGGACGGGATAACGAATTTGAGTTTGCTAATTTCCAACCTTAAGATTGTTGAGAATACCGTTTTGATTTAACTGTTTGTGGCTACTCTTGTTCTGGCTCAGATGGGTTTTTCAAGAACTTGTGCACCACGAAATTCATACATCTTCAGTACCTTGTCCACCCTCAGTTTTTTGTTTCTTCTCAGCTGAAGAGTGCTGTTTCTGCTGTTGACCTTGGAATTAGGGCCTTAGTGAATCCTTCCTTCTACTTTTTCGCCAGCCGCTCTTAGAACAGGAGGCTTTAATTCTGCTCCTCCTTTTTCAATTATCAGTTCGTTACCTGGTTGAAATGCTTTTCCAATTTCTGGTGCAATTCGTATGTGTTGTCTGGGAAATCATTGTGCATGGCTATAACGATGTTAGCGTATTTTGACTAGATCCCTATTTTATTTAATATCAGCAGGCTTCGGTTGTCCAATTTGGCAAGGTCAGCGGCTCGGTGTAGTGGAGTGTATAGGAAGAATCATTTATTGCATATTGTTGCTAGAATAAGATCAGTATGAGTGAGGAGGGAACAGTGAATGAAGCTTCCAATAAGAATGATTCCAATGGTAATGGCTTGCCAGAGAAAACAGTAGATGGCATTAATGAGAAGAATGACCTGGAAGCTGATGGAAGAAAAGTCTTGGAAAATAATGGAATTAAAGACTTGAAAAAGGATGGTGTGAAGGAAATGGAGGAGCATAAGAAAGTTGATGATGTGAAGCAGGTAGGAGATGAGAAAGATGATGGTGTAAAAGAAGTGGAAAAGGATAAGAAAGATGATGGTGTGGAGGAAGTGGAAGAGGATAGGAAAGATGACGACACAAAAGAAGTAGAAGAGAATAAGAAAGATGATGTTAAAGAGATGGAAGAGGGTAAGAAAGATGGTGATATAAAAGAAGTAGAAGATAAGAGGGATGAAAATGGATCTGTGGTTGGAAAATTGGACGAAGAGACAGTGGTTAAGGAAACTAAGGAAAGTGGAGAAGTGAAAGAGAAAGAAGCAGCTGAGAACTCCAAAATTGACGCAATGGAAGAAGAGGCTTCTCCCAACATCAAGGAGGAGACCACTAAGAAGGAGGAACCTGAGCAGGTCAAGGAGGGTGAGGATGAGGAGAAAGAGAGCAAGGATGGCATTGATGAGCCAAGAGATGGGGAAAAAGATAATGAAGTTAAGAAAGGATCTAAAAAGCATGCAAGGGGGAAGAGTGATGAGAAGAAAGTGAAAAATAAAAGGAAGAAAATGTCAGTGGAGCCAAGGACTCCTGCTATTGATCGCCCAGTACGTGAAAGAAAATCAGTGGAGAGGTTGGTGACATCATATGAAAAAGATGCATCCAAAGAATTTCACATTGAAAAGGTATTGATTCAGTCCTTTTTCCCTATTGAAATGTTATGATTTTAATGTATTCTGTTAAAACCTATTGTGTTTAAGATATACCTCTGAAATTGCAGGGCCGTGGTACACCTTTGAAAGATATACCAAACGGTATGGTGCCTCCCTGTGCTTAAATTGTTTTTCCCCTCTGTTCATTTTATCCGGCAGAAGTAAACCTAATACATTATTTCCTTAGATATGAACTTTAATTCACATTGTTCCCGGTCTTGATGATAATTTTTTTTCCAAACAATTGTTAAATAACAGCACAAAATAGCTGGTTAAATACAGCAAAGCAACAAACCAGCCGGACACAGTAAAATTCAACATGGTTGCATTTAGAGTTTGTCCGCTACCACCATGATAGAATCTATGCCATGAGACTTATTTGAGCCAACTTTTAAATTCATACTTATATCTTCCCAAGATAGAGTGCAGCCATTGGGATGTTGGCGCTCCATGGGGAGTCAATTTATGGTCTTAGGAACTATGAGATACCCCTAAGTCCCTTATTGAATAATATGGGTTGCCTTATAAGATATTTAGGCGGGTTGGATTTCTTTGCTCAGTAGATAGCTCTTGGGGGACTGGGGATCCCACTTAAGTACCTACCCATACTAGGCTACAATTACGGAGCCCCAAAACATTTGGTGCAGCCAGTATCAATTTTGGGCTTTAATAGTAATTCTAGAGTGGTTCCCCCTAAAAATTATGTCTAGTTTGTGTTGCATCCTTATTGTACATGTCTCTCAGCAATGAATTAAATAGCTTAAAATTTAATCCCAAACACAGCCCATGGCAGGCAACTATATATTGAGATTGCTAAATGATTATGAACTTAAATAAAGCATCCTTATAGCTTATAAACATGATGCCAGATGTGTTAATAACCTATTCAAGGTCTGCTGAATGTTCTTAGTCACTGGGCACGTGGGGAGTCCCTTGAGAGTTCGATATATGTTTTGTATTATCCTGGATGACTACTAACTTCATGACCATCTCTTTTTTCCCCCCCCCTTTTTTTTTGTGTTTTAGTGGCATTTAAATTATCTAGAAGGAAGCCTGACGAGACCTTCAGGTTGCTCCATACCATCCTTTTTGGAAGGAGAGGGAAGGTAGGCCCTGCTATATATGAACTGCGTGTGTTTCCAGTGCAATATTTTGACATGATCCACATTGATTGTTTATTTAATGTAGTAATGTAGTAACTATGTTGCGTCACTTCTATAAATGAGTATGAGGGGCAGTGCATGGTTTGACAGTTCAAAATTATTCTTACATTCTGTAGTCATCTTGCTACCAAGTGATTCCTTTTTTTTTCTTTTTGCAGGCTCCTCAAATTAAGAGTAATATATTAAGGTTTTCAGGTTTCGTGTGGCATGAAAATGAGGTAATTATTCTCTTGGAGCGTGAAAATCAGTTCTTCTAACAAGCAACCATAACATATGTAACAAAGTAGTGGCTTTATCGGCTTGTTTACTAAATCATGTGCTTTCTTTCTATCCTTTGCTATCTTTTTTTGCCCAATGTCCGTGGTTGCCCAAGCTTCAATATTCCAAAATTTGTCATTGCAGGAAAAGCAACAAATGAAAGTAAAAGAAAAATTTGACAAGTGTAACAAAGAAAAGTTATTGGAATTCTGCGATGTGCTTGATATACAAGTTAACAAGGCAGCAACCAGAAAGGTTTGGTGGTTTAGCATTGCTGATGCACTTTTCATTAATGAAATTTTGCACCTTCACAAGAAATGGTTTTGTTGTTTACAGATAACAGATATGCTCATGCTTGTATTATGACTTCAAGCTGCTTATAGCAGCATTTCTACCTTTTTAAGTTGTTTGTGTTGATTCATGGGCTAATATTTACCTACATATGCAGGAAGATATTATTACGAAGCTAATGGAATTTTTGGTGGCTCCTCATGCTACAACAACAGTCCTACTTGCAGAAAAAGAGAAGGTTTGTATATTATATTCTCTCATAAATTTTTTTCTCTCCTGAAATTATGCTCCCCCCCCCCCCCGAAAGACCTGTGTTTCGGGTGTAACATATTCATAATACTTAATTTTCACTGGTTAACAGCCAAATAGGGGCAAAAAGCGCTCACGGGTTGAGAAAAGAGGTTCATCGGCATCCTGGATCACAACTTCAAAGCGCTCTGCTAAGGTGCTATTTCATTCTTTAACCGCTAGAGCATGAATTGTGTCTGAAGCAGCACTATACTGTAACTTTGCTTATAAGAAATTAGTTTTATGCTGTAAAATTGGATTTTTTCCCTCCCCATATGGTGCATGAGATGGATGATATGCTGAAGAAATTAGAAAGGAGAAAAATTTCCTGAAGTAAAAGCTCATAATAAAAGGTGGCATGGAGTTTGATAAAAGGAGCCAAATAAAAACGTGAAGATGAGTAGAGGACACAGCTCAGAAGGGTCACTATTTATAAGCCAGATGACGAAAAATGGCTTCCTAGGCCTTTTGAGTTGACTAGTGAGATGAGCTGCATTATTCAAAGCTTGTGGATTGTGTGGCTCTTTATAATTCATTTTGATATTGATGCTAATTTTGATGTTAGGCCTGTATGCCCTCAGACTTGGCGTTTCCCCACATCCTCTGGTTATGCCCACTTTACACTGCGACACTTGCATCATTTGTAAATTTCTACATGACTTCTGAGCACCTTATCGTGTTTTTGTGGATAGTATTGTATAGTTGTACTCGTGATGATCTTATACATATATTTCAATTTGTGCAATATGAATCCTATTGTGCAGAGAAGCCTGTTGATGTGAATTAATGTGTCAGTATGGGTTAGCCTGACAGAAAAGAGGACATACAAAACCACATGGTTTTTTTGCATCTGTTTTAATTCTGAAGTCTGAACTCATCTTTCGTAATATTTCAATTTTTTAATGTCTCAAAAAGCCTGCCATCCTCAATTTTACACTGTATTCTTCAGAGTCGGAAGAAAAAAGAGGATTCTTCAGCTGTGGAGGAGATGAAGAGTACTTCTGATACTGAAGATGAGTCAGAGGAAGAAGAGAAGGAAGAGAAAGAAGATGAAGAAAATGAGGAGAATGAAAATGGTGTTCCTGATAAATCGGAGGATGAGAGGCCAGAGAATTCTGCAAGTGAGGAGAAAAGTGATTCTGGTAATGAATCTGAAGATGAGGAAAAACCAAAGAAGACTACCAAAGCATCATCCCTGAAAAAAGAATCTTCCGCAAAAGCTAAAGCCACGAAAGTCACTTTTACTAATAAATCTCGTTCAACAACTAAGAGAGCACCTAAGAAATCAGCACCGATCCAGTCCAAAGTTGCTGATGATAGTGATGGAAGTCCAAAGGTCTTTTCAAGGAAGAAAAAGAATGAAAAAGAGGAAAAGCAGAAGCCTTCAACTCTGGCAAAGTCATCTTCCAAAGAGAAAACTGGTAAATATCATAAGCTTTCTTTTCTTTCACCAAAATTTTAGAAGTGTCCCAATTTGTGTAGATTTTATATTTTAGCAAACTATAAGATGTACCCAAACCGAATTAATCGGATTAATATTTGAAAAAAAAAAATACTAGTTTAGTGTCAATTGCTTTTAACCCATGTATGTAATGAAACACCCATCTGTTCATATTTAAGCAGAAAAAGTACTTAAGGGAAAGGGCAAGAACAAAGAGAAGTTGATCCCCAGTGACGAACAGTTGCGAGATGCAACGTGTGAAATCCTTAAAGAAGTTGACTTCAATACGGTAAGATGCTGATTTGAAACTGAGTGTAATTCAACCATTAAGTTGAACATATCTTGCGTCAGGTCTTGCTCTAGAAAATGAATAACTGAGTGTAATTCAACCATTAAGCTGAACATATCTTGCTTCATATAACTCTGCTTGTTCTAGAAAATGAATATTATTTTGAGTTGATTTATTGCTTGATTGCTAGTTGGGGCAGTGTCAACATTTTACATAACTGCTTGTGCAAACCCTTGACTAGTAGCCTCATCTCCGATAGGGGTAGTAGCAAATTGAAATATTTACTTATAGCGACATCTCCCGCTAGAAGTGTATGGATTAAGAGTGGATACCTAAATGCTCTTGTGCCTGCCTTTTCTGATTAGAATATTTGATAAATGATAAATTAGTTGTGAACATGATATTTGTCATTTAGCTAGACAAATGGCTTAATACTTGAGTACATGCCTTTAAAGCAGAGGACGCATGCATTTGTAAGACCATGCATTGGTTTGACATGCATGGTTTCTTCACTGTTGCTAGCGGAATCCACAAGGTGAGGTGTAACATTGGTGATCTGCATTGCTGTTACTAGATTTGCATGCTTTGTCATCATTGAAGATTGTTTTGAGCTGGAAATTTGTAGCAATTTAATGAACTTCCACCCCCGCCCTCTCTCTGCGTGCCAAGTACTGATATGTTGCCCTGAATTAAAACAATTCTCTTTTGCAGGCAACATTTACCGACATTCTGAAGCAATTAGGTGAGTGCCATTTATCGGTTACATTTATCAGATGGTTCATTTTTGTTTGCTTTTTTGTGGTTTGGACTCTGGACTTTTGACATGAACCAATTAATCATGATCATTAATCAATCATGAATAATTTTGTAATCTGTATCACTTGATATCCCGGAGAACCTGTCCTGGAATGATGAATTATCTGAGATATTTAATTATGAGGACCTGGAGGGCGACTAAGAGTTCCATGACCTAAGATAACTGTAGTTCATGAATTGAAATTAAGAATTGGATTAAAAGGCGCCTTTTGTGCCTTACAAGTTCTGTGACTTGGTTTTCAGCTAAGCGGTTTAATGTGGATCTCACCCCAAAGAAAGCAGATATAAAGGTCATGATTCAGGAAGAGCTCACAAAACTGGCTGATGCGGCCGATGATGAAGATGGAGAGGAAGATGCTGAGAAAGATGAAACCCAGCCTATTGCACCGGCGGTTAAAGCATGACTGAGAATCCCATTTGACTGTTTGGAGATAGGCGTAATAGCAATGTAATTTTAACCACTGTTGGGTTTCCCGTGGTAGTTAGTCTTTTGCATAGTAAAAGCGACTGTAATTTATCTTTAGCTTCCAATCTTTGTCAAAATTTAGTGTAAGCTTTTGGTGGCTGTCAGGATGCAGCTTCTTGTGTACATCAACAGATTGTACCTATCGTTCATGTAACTGCTGACAAACACAGGTTTCAACAAGCTTGTCCAGTTTAATAAAGTATTTGACTTCAAAGTAATTACCTTGTGATATCAAAACCATTTGTATTGGAGTGACATAGTACTAGTATTTCATTCTCTCCCCCACGCGCGCACTATATGCTTTATCCTGATCTGTCTTTGCTCGCAGGCTGTCGTAAAATCATCTCTTGCATCCTTGTTGGCTCTCTTCATTGGCTTACCTAAGGGGGTAACTCTGCAACTAAACCAAGATGTTTCCTCACAATGGTGATATCAAATAATGAATGAGTAATGGATCAATTTAATAATAAAGATATATATGGATCTTATTATAAAAATATGCTTGTGAAATTTTTATTTAAGGCATGGACTAGTGGAACAAATGTAGAAGATTCCAGTTGACTCATTCATCCACTCAAACAAGTGGGGCACCAAGGCAATTGCCCTTTATTTGTGAGCCCCACATTGGGTGAGATTTTATGTTGAGTCAAATCAACCAGGTTAATGATCAATGGGGCCCAAGATTAGTGTAAGATGATGTTCAAATTACATGGATATCACTGAGGATTGACTAATTATCCCTTCCTAATAGCTCCTGTGTTTCAAGTCAATCCACCTGAATTTGGATACATTAATGCTTTTGATAGCAAGGTTCTTTTTCTTTCAGAAATAATAATAATAAAAAAAATAGCCAATAAATAATATCACTTTATCAAATCACATCAATATAGAAATTAAAACTAGGACCCTTTTGGTGGGTGAACCACTTAGTACACTAATAATGGTTTAATAGTGTTGTTTTTGGCGCCATTCAAGTTGCTTGGATGCAAAGTCACTATGCATGTGACCACTAACTACATAACTAGTGCCACCATTTTTAATGAGTGCCTAAAAAGTCCCATATATCTCCTCAAGTGATTAGATTGTCTTTTCTGTGTTAATGAATGAATTAATTAATTAATTAAGTCTATATGGATAAGTTGGACGGTCATTAAGTAAATATCTATTTGGAACAATATTATAATTATCTTTGAACCACTTCTTGATTCATTTGAGTGTGGTACGAGGTTGGGAAAGTTGGAGAGGAAACTCCATTAAACCTTCGAAGCTATAGCCTCTAGGTCTATGATTTAATGGATCAACAGGTTTTATATCATTGAATATTGAATAATTAAAGGTTTAGAAAGAACAGTAGCTAAGATATTCTACATTATAAGAACTAATCCTAAAAAGGAAAATTTAAAAATAACAATAACGTGGTAAAAACTAAAATTACAAAGAAGTGCAAGACAGATTTTTTTTTTTTTGGTGACTTATCATCTATGGTTCAACATGGAGAATAGGGAAGAAAAGCAAAAGCCAAAAAGAAAAAAAAAAAAAGTACTTTTCATTCCCTCATCAATTTATGATGGCAACCTTAAATTGATAACAAGCATTCTTGGTTGAAAAAGTTGTATGCATAGAGATAATGTTTGATTCTTAACATAAATTATTCTAATAAATTTATTATATGAACGTATAATTTTATCTTTAATTTAACATTATTACTTTTTAAATTTTTTTTAAGTAAAACATGTATATTAAATAAGAATAAAATTAAAAAAATTAAATTTGAAGGAAAAATTAATAAATTTCAAAACTTTTGAGAACGTGTTAAGAAGGATGTTATAAAGATGGGGGGAGCAATAGCTGAAGCATAAAGGTGGGAGTGGGAGATGGCAATTCAATGGTCCAGATGGTTCAGTTCCCTCCACAGGACGCTTCAAAAATCGTCTCTGCATCCTCCTCACCCTTATCGACTCATTACGCTTCTCCTCCCTCCACGTGTCCTCCACCTAATGCCTTATTAATCCCGTAATCCGACGGACTCTGCTCACTCCCTTTCACTCAACTCTATTACTTCACTCCCCCCGCCGGCTCCGATCGCCGGCGTCCCCTCCCTCACCGCCCCACGTTTTCCGTCCTAATTATCCTGCTACCTCTTATATTGCCTTCCAACACCACTGCTTCAGCTCTCTGTCGCTGCAGATTCCCTCTCAAATTCGTTGAGAATTCCTTTCACGTCAACTTCGATCTTCCCCGGTCAACTGATCCAGAGCTGCTTCGCATTTGTAATTCATCCCGAACTTTCTTCGATTTCGAATATCCTCAACTGGTTTTCTCGGTCCATCAGCTGTTGACTGGGCTAGAACTCAACTCGAATTGCGCAGTTCACGAACTCCACAAGCTGACTTGGTGGTAAGGTTTTACGCTGAATCGAACTGATTCGAGTCCGATTGGGTTGAGACGACGATGGCGGACTCGGATAACGATTCCGGAGGGGCGCAGAACACGGGAGCCAATGCAAACAGCAGCGAATTGTCGCCGCGAGAGCAGGACCGGTTCCTACCTATAGCGAACGTGAGCAGGATCATGAAGAAGGCGCTTCCGGCGAATGCGAAGATCTCAAAGGACGCGAAGGAGACAGTGCAAGAGTGCGTATCGGAGTTCATCAGCTTCATCACCGGAGAGGCCTCCGATAAGTGCCAGAGGGAGAAGCGGAAGACCATCAACGGGGACGACTTACTCTGGGCGATGACCACGCTGGGATTTGAGGACTACGTGGAGCCACTCAAGATTTACTTGCAGAGGTTCAGGGAAATGGAGGGAGAGAAGAGCGTGGTGGCGGCGCGTGACAAGGAAGGAGGTGGCGCTTCCATTAGTGCTTTTGACGGCAGTGGCGGGGTGTACGGGGGTAGCGGAGGTGGAATGGGAATGATGATGCATCAAGGACACGTGTACGGATCTGGTGGCTTTCATCAAATGGGCGTTAGTGGTGGTCCTGCTATGGGTAAGAGCGGGCCAACTTATCCGGGTCCTGGATCTAACTCGGGTAGACCCAGATAGATCAAAGGTGTGAACCAGTAGCTTATAATATTCTAATACCGGCCTAGATTTTAGGATTGCTCTAAGTTATTTAGTGCCTTCTTTGATTGATAAATTTATTAATCATTAGATTAAAATCAGAAATGAAGTGGGAAAAAAAACAGAGAGAGAATCCAATGATTAATAAATCCGTCAGTTTGAGAAAGTGTATTAAGACTGATTCTAATGTGTTAGGGTGATTTGGCATTATTATGTAAAGACAAAAAGATCTTTAATAGTTCCTCCCTGTAATTCTCGTGTTGAACAAATACTGCTTCCTCTTTTTTGAAGAATTAACCTTAGCCGGAAGCCCAGAACTTCTGTACTTGTGTTAGTGTTCTTTGATGATCTTTATGCTTCGATTTTTTTAAATTTATTTCTAATACAAGGTTACGATGGAAAGCTGGAGATAATGTAAAATATTAATATTCCTTCCGGTTTATACAAATAAATAATCGAATTACACGGATGAAATAGTTTATTCAAATTCAAATTAGTCAGATATAACAATCTACTAAATGAGGGCACTTCTTCTAGTGGGGATTCGAACTTTAGTTCGTCAAGTTGTGAAAAACTAATCCTTTCCACTAGACGCTAGACTCAACCCTCGGTGAATTATAGTTTCTCTTGTAAGTAAATGTCCGGAAACACAACAAGGGTGTGTCATATTTTGGGTCAAAACTATGCATGCACATTGGGCTAAATAAATGGGGACTAAGAGGGTATTTGGGCACCATAAAAAGTGCTTCTCAGAAATATTTTTTCGTAAATCAAGATAAATTCTTACACATATTTATTTCGTATACTATAAAAGCATTTTTAAAATCATGATTTTGATTCTATCCAAACGTCTTCTAAAATGGAGATTCAAGGAGGACGAGAACAAATCTAATAGTTGTCCCCATTCCAATTGGGACATAATGGAAGTACATTTATGCATTACTATATTTGCAAAAGACTTCACTTGCAGAAAATCCTAGGAATCACAGGATGCCTCCATTTCAGATACGAGGCTGGGTTTTAGATTGCGCAAAAGTAAAATTGATTTACCAAACATATAGGCCAGACATCGTTATTCTCTCTCTCGTTCTCTGGTCGAAAAAAGTCTGAAATTTGATAAGCTAGAATCCTTAGAATCCTAACCCATATATACATGTCAAAATCTCACGACCCAATAAACACCAAGCACTTTTGCTAAGACAGAATTAATCGCGAGGTTAACATTTCAAACCCTGGATAACGGTTACGTGAGGTGTGAATGACGGGGAAAAAATGCTGACCTATGCATCAAACGTGCGTATCCTAAATCGCTTGCTTGAGTTTTGCACGGAAGTCACGTAAATGCTAACCTGGGTGATCTCACATGCGTTAAACCACTAATATAAGACTCATCTGGTCTTTCATATAAAATAAATAAAAAATATTAGTTAAATTAGGCAATATGATACTTCTTTAGTTCTTAGAGGCTGCTTGGAACACATCAAAAGTACTTTTAAAAGAATACTTTATTTTGCAAATCAAACAAATTTTTTTACATATTTACTTTGTATATCATAAAATCACTTTTAAAATCATAATTTGATTTTTATCAAATCACCCTCTTAATGTTGGACTTAATTGTTAAATTTGTTTCAGTACAAGACCCATTTATCATATTTATAAATTTTTTATAAATTATCGCTATTAATACTTTTTTAACTATAACCAAGTAGAAAAAAGAGTAAGAATATTAAAAAACATGATTATGATGGTTAGGAAATATGTCATATTTCTTATAATTAACTTACTTACCTATTTTTTTAATTTAATCAAATTACTTAAATACGTCTCACATTAAACATTCAAGGAATATGTTCTTTCTAAAACACCTTTATCACCTTCCTTGACTTCCTCCCCCTCTCTCTTACTATATTATTGTTGAGGAAATATCAATACTTGATAGGATTAATTTGAAGAAAAAAATTGACAAAATAGATCTTACATAAATAACCAAAATGGGTAAATTACAATTATAATTTATAAATAAAACAAACAATTAAAAAAACGAATACCAAAAATAAAATTCAAATGAGCTATCTCCATCAAATTATACCACCACGGCAAGCCATAGGCTTACCAATTACCATACAGCATATTCAAACGCATTATATTTATAATATGCTAGGTCAATGCAAAATACAACACACTTTACTAGCTACACGGCAATGGTCCTGTTTTTTTTTTTTTTTTTTCCAGCTACAGCTCAGTCAATCAGCACACCACGCATTCAGTCTCAATGAACATGGGAGACATTTGTGACAGAAAGAAGAATGATAGAAATACGCAAATATAACTGAATACAACAAGCACTTATTGGACCAGTCAAATCGCCGAAACTCAAGTGATTAAAACAGCTACAATAACATTTCCAATGAATGAACAATCCGGCCAAATGCCCCCACTAAAAACTAACTCATCCATATAGCACAATCTGAATGCATATAGATCATCGCCGCTTAAGTTCAGCAAAATATCACCACACAACTTCATAAACGCTTGGATTTCTAAAGAAAATCAATTCATACATACACGTGCTTGTCCATCGAAAAAACCATTCAAAATTTCAAATCAGGAAAGCAGATTCAGAAAAACCAAGGAGATGAAGAGTAAATCTTGTATAAAGAGAGAGAAAAACATAGTCCTTAGAAGGGAATAACATGATCATGAAAGATCTGACTTAGATAAAGATCCCAAGTATTTAATCCACGAATAAAAACAAAACACGTGAATTCCCCCCCCCCCCCTTAACAGATCATCATCACCTGACTGATCACTTGGAAAGCTTACCGTACATGTTAAGTTTGAATACAACTACTACAATAACTTTTCCTAAATACACAAAAACAAATTCTCTTCAAGAAACCGTCCTGGTACAAAACACCAAAAATGAAGAGTAGCAACATAATAAATTTGCTCTCCAGTCTAAACAACAGCTGAGACTCTCTTTTACTACAGTATACAAGATAAAACCATAGGACAGAACTAAAGAAAGACTGGACAAAAGGAATATATCGTGAAAAAATTACATCAATATATACATGACAGGATGTACAGTTCTCTGGTTATGAATGATTACAAAAATTGAATGGTTAGCCCTCTACATCGTATACAAAAATCGCATGCTCATCCGTGTGGTATACTAACAAAGGTTGGGGGTAAAACACAACAACTGGGAAGAAATGATACAACAGCCAGCAAATCAGAAAAGGCACATTACAAACATCCTCAGCTAAATCCTAATACATCAATCATACAAATAGTTCTAAATAGTCTACCACATGTCATACATTAAAGTTCAAAATAGTCTACCACATTTCAAACTTCCATAAGTTCAACCCAATACAACAACGTTGGTTTATCATTTGAACTAAACATAAATCCAAAACAAAAGCTAATAACTTCATAGCAAATGTTCCACTTTTCAATGTAGGCAATGGATTGTCATGACTTGTCTCTTCGACACTCAACAAGGTCCACTTGATCTCCGAAGCAAGACTGAGATTGAATGAACAGCTTCCTTTCCCAATACAATTGTCCCTAAATAACAGAGAAACCCACAACAACGGTTGGAATTCAGAAGACATTAAGAATAGGCTACAACGGTACATTTCACATAAAAGTAAGAAGAAATACTGTCCTCCCTGCTTGGTAAAACAGCAGTCATCAGATCTAAAAGTCGTTCTTTTCGCCTAATGCACAACCCCTCATGTTTCTACAATTCCATGCCATCAAAGCAAGCTCGAATATGTATTCTAATTTTTTTCCTCAATTGTAAAAGCCAAAATTTCATCCCCACGCCCAAAAACTCATTTTCAGCTACATTATTTCTGAATAAAGCGAAGTTATAAAACTGTGTCTCAAATCTCAAACAGAGTCCTAAGCAAAACCATGCAGTTAGATATTCCGTGTAGGAAAAAATCAGACAGATTTTCCATACATTACACCGAAAAAACATAATGTTAAATAAACTCAAACATTATAAAGCAAGCAATTCTAAAATATCAATTGCCTTTAAGTTTATGTAATCTCAAATTTTAAGTTTATCACCAAAACCTGTAACTTCTACTCCAAAATTTTAACCATTGCTACATGAACAAAAAGATAACTAAATTCACTCACATATATAACATATAATCAGCAATAGATCAGCAGCAGGTAGTGCCCTACACATATTAAAACATCAAGCTGAATAAAGAGAGTGTGAAGAAAGAGAGGGAGTGAATTATTAGGGCAGGGAGCTTTTTTTTTTTTTTTTTGGGAGGGGGGATGGCAGCTGCATTTATATGCATGGCATATACATATTAAGGCTACGTAACCAGGTTTTAATATAGAAATAGCCAGATCCATAAATACATTCCTTGAATTCTCTTACTAAGAAAACTACTCAAAGCTTTTTGAGGTGGCATACTAAAACCCATTTAATCACTGAAATGCTTGAAATATACATATCATGGCTACAGAACAAGATTAAAATATATGCATGGCTGAATCCACGTATAGGTTCTATCTTGATTAACCAAAGAAAATTATTGAAAACTGCAATGCTATTGGTGGAATGATAATAATAATTTTCATTTAACCAAGAAATCAACAGCCGTCTGGGCTAAACCAGAGGTTATTCATTCACTTTCAGAAATCAGGGCTAAAACTATCTCATCAACATCTTCAACATCAACAGCAGAGGCATGAAAGCAATACACACAACCTCATATGCCAGTATCATGTAGGCAAAAGTGGTAATGAGCAGAATGAAGGAGGCTTGATCATAAACTCTATGCAGGCTATGGATATGAAAATTGAAAAGAAAAATTCCAGAGAAACTCAAGCAGAATTTCAAGAAAAGATTATTAGAACCATGAGTACAGATAAAAACATAAAATAACACAAGGCAAATTTAACAGGATATTCAAAACCATCACATGCACTATCAATTAATATTTGGTTCTTACTGAATCTATATATAATACCCCAACAAGTTATGCCCACTTTAAGGTTGCCTTTGGCTCACACATCACTTATTTGATTCCACGTTCAGATTAGACAAACAGAAATCTGTTTATCAAAGAATCAGTATTAAAAACACGACCAACTTCCATGCTCAGTAAATACAGTACAAAAGCTTAAACACAGATAACAGTAGTTTCTTCTAGTTTGCGGCTATCAGTTGTTAAAATAATAGTTTTGGCTAAATCAGCCTTGCATCAAAGGAGTAGTCCACCAAAACTAGACACGCTATTTATATTTAAGTATTGAGATGGAGAAAGGCCAGATGGAGAGTAAAGAAAAGCATTTAACCCAAATTAGCTATATCATATGCTTATCTCAGCCCAGTGCATAATTTACCCGTGATATGTACAAAGTATCACAAACAATAACAAGTTGAAGAATGAAGAATAAATCTGAAATCTTAGAACAAACCTTTCTCACAGAAGTACAAAAGCAAGCTTCAGATGAGAGGTACACAGAACAAGAGATTGAAACAAAACAGCTGCTCAACAACTTCTGGACTGGAGGAGTGCAACCAGAGTCAATCCAACCATGACAAATCCTTAATTTTCAGCTTCTGTTCTATTCTTCCTCAATGGAAAGTTATCCCAAAAATACTAAAAATATTAAACATCATATTAAGTTACTCAGATGTAAGTCGTCGCCTCTTCCCATAATCAGCATCCCTAGATCTAGAATGATGATCGTCCTCTTGGGATAATCTTGATTTGCTGTGAGTCCTTGATGACCTTCCCCGCTCCCACTCATCCTCATGGTCTGCTTCACGATCTCTGTACCTATGATGGTCAGCATATCTGTCCCTTTCTTCCTTGTACCTATCACGTTCACGGTCTCTTTCACGATCCCTATCACGGTCTCGGTCACGGTCTCGAGACCGTTCACGGTCACGGTCACGCTCCCTATCACGTTCACGACCTACTTCTCTATCATCACGGTGTCTTCTTTCAGACCACTCATGGTCCTGCCCCATGTCTTTTTCTCTAGGTGCATCTCTCTCATATCCTGGATCTCTATCATCCTTGTACCTTCGTTCAGAGGAGCCAGACCAGTCCCTTTCTGATCCTCTATCTTTTTCCCTCATGGCATTCGGCCAACCACCTCTATCATGACTCACCTCACCATACTGATGTTCTGATGCAGCTTCCTCACCATAACTAGACTCTCCAGCCCTCCCACCACCATGCTCTTCAGCACCCCATCCACCCATACTTGGATCTGACCACATTCCCATATTAGGCCCATCAACTGTTGAAGTGGGCATCATCCCCATACCATTCATGGGCATCCCTCTTCCAAAAAAGGCTGGATTAACATGAGGTGCCACTCCAGGCAAACCAACACCTCCAACTGCCGGGAATGAAGGCAAAATGCCAGAGAATGGAGGAGTTGGAGCACCTGGAAAGCCTCCATAGCCACCCATTCTACCCATAGGCCCTCCAAATGCAGGATCAAAACCCTGATTCATCATTGACTGAGGATGCAACAGAGGCGGGGTGGCACCAATACCTTGTCCAAATCCATTGCCACCATTACCCATGATGCCTCTACCCCCCATCCCACCACCTCTATTCCTCATTGGATTAACAGGACCCCTATTTCCCATACCAGGATTATTCCCTCTCCCCCAGTTACCTCTCCCATAGCCTCGATTGCCATCTCCACCTTGGTAGTTCCCACCTGTAGTAATGTTGTTCCCACCCGTCTTAGCCCCTGAATCAGCAGGTCCTCTCCTTGCCTGAGAAGTAGTAGATTGGGCCATCTGTTGATTCCTGCTGACCTGAGCCTCTCCCATTCTCTTGACAGTAAAAGGAGAAGCAAAAGCAACAACGCATGGTCGCCCATTAAACATATGCCCAGCCATTCCTTCTTTACAGGCAGATGCAGCAGCAGGATCATAAAACTCAACCTGGCAATACCCTTTTGATTTCCCACTAGCCTTCTCATCAAAAAATTTCACCTCCTTCACTGGCCCATACTTACAAAGTTCTGCCTCCAACTCAGCATCAGTAGTCCACCAGTGTAAATCACCAACAAATAAAATGGTGCCCCCACCGCCACTTCCACCACCACCACCACCACCACCACCACCACCACCAGGAATAGCAGCTCCTCCTCCAGTGTTGACCACATTGACACCACTCCCATTATTCCCAACCCCATTGCCACCAGTTCTATTGAGATTTCCTCCTCCACCACCTTGCCTCATCAAATTCTCATTCCCCACGTTCCCAACAACTCCACCATGATGTTGCTGCCCCATGCCTTGTACTACCACACTGTTATTAGCACTCTGCTCCTCTATCTCATTCGACTTGCCCGGTTGTTGCCCTAATTCAACCCTCATCCCACCTCCAACACCCATAGAGGTACCCGATCCACCACTACCTTTCACAACCATCTCATTTCCTCTAAACCCTTGATTTTGAATCCCATCTGCTCGCCCTGGAACCCTAGACGCAGCATCCATAACCCCCGCGGCGGCAGCCTCACCGCCAGTACCACCACCACCACCACCGACACCGACACCCGGGATAGAAACACCACCAGTTTCCGGCGGCACGGCGGCTGATTGCGTCTTTTTCTCCTCAACCTCCTCATTCCGAAGCCCGGAATCGTCGTTCTTTCTTAAAGACTGAAGAAAACCTTCCCCAACATTAACGTCGTTGTAAAGGTCCTCGTAATCGTCGTCCTCCTCGGCCAAAAAACCCTCATCAGCTACAGCTGATATCGCTTCATTGCGATGGAACTGATCCATCGGATCCCCACTCTCACCGTACCCTCCCTCACCTTCATCCATCGCACTCTCTTCACTCTTCCCCGTCCCGTTCGCCTTCTTCTTTCCCCCAGAATAATGATACTATTGCAGCGAGTAATTCTTGATTTTTTTTATAAATCAAGAGGAAACATTTATAGTTGATTAAGCAGTGCAGCGAGAGTGCAAGATCTTACCAGCTAACGAGAAAACGAGGAGAGGGCATGCCTGTGCGAATGAGTCAGACACTCACAAACCCTAATCTGGAATCTCGCGACGAAATTCGATGTCCCAGTCCTTTTCTCTCTCACCTTCTCTCTCCCTTCATAAAAGCCAACTCTTGGGATATTGCTCGCGTGCCCCTTTCTTTCACTGTATGCTCCCTTTGTTTCTCTTACTTTCTTTATTTTGCTACTTGCCCCTTATCCCTTCTTGCTGAAGTCAGGGCGAATGTACATGCCTGTGCTTGAAAATTCAGATGCAGCTTGCTCACGGGAAAAAATAGAAGTGATTTGTGTAAGTTTTTCAAAAATTTAATCAAATTATGTTTCATATTATTTTAATTTCAAAAATTAAAAATATTTCTTAAAAAATTAGTGTTTATTTAAATACGTATCTAGTATTCATTTTTTTCTCGATAATAAAGCATGACTGATTTAATAATAAGCCATATTTTATTTTATTTTTACAATAAAAGTTGTTAACCAACTATTAATGATAGAAACCTAATGAAAAGGTTGTTACTCTTGAGAGGAAAAAAAATAGCTTCTTAAGACATGCATGGTTAACGGGAACAATAGGAATTATGCTCTTAAGGAACCTCCTAACTCTCCCTTTTAAATTTTTTTAGATATTATTAATATACTTCTTCCTTTTTCCTTTTATTAAACCAAACAAATTGTTATCTTTTTTTTTTTTTGGTGAAAACAAATTGTTATCTTTGTTTCAAGCGTTGTGGATTTAAACAAAATAAATTTGAATAGTTTCTTCTTCAAAGTAATATATATATAAAGACTAATGATCTTAAAACTTAATAACATGAAAATACTTTGTAAGTAATTAGGCTATGGGCTTGATTCTCACTTGTAATGTTAAAGCATTAGGTTTGGCCTATTCAAATGCAGCCTAATCCAAAAAAATGAGTAAAAGATTACAATAATAAATTAATATTACTTATTAACAAAACCATAACTACAAGAATATAGTCCTTGAGAAAATAGTATCAAGACAAAAATAACATTCCCTAGTATTATAAATACTTATGCATTGTTTTTAAGTTTTTGACAGTATTAAGTTAATAAATCAATTCAAAATGTTTAGCAAAGATTGAGAATTTTCATGAAAATCATCAAGGTAACTCATTACACACGAATGTATCATGAAAAAACAACATGATAAAATCAAAATCAATGTTTACAAAAAGTTTTTTTGGGAAAAAAAAAATAACATGCATATATACTTCTATACACACAAAGTGAGCCAATGTACGATTTAACCTCGATCTGTAGTGTCCAATATCATTTGATCTATGAAGCCAAGTTGAGATGCCATGATGATATCTACCAGTTTGGTTGAACATTCCTACTCAATAATGCTTTTGAGTAGGAAACAAATTAGGAATCTCAATATTTCTTTGATTGGTGCATACGATTGCCTTTGTTGAGGATGACCATTCCATTATTTTGAGGGAAGGAGCATTCCAGAGGGTCCTAATAGAAAACAGTTGGTTCTTGGAATGATTTTTCTTTTTTGGCTGGAGATTGTGTTCCTACTTTCTAATAGCCTTTCACGAGTCCAAAATTACCTTGTAGGCTATAGCCCCCACCTTCTCCCTTGACGAAGTTCCTCCACACCAACCCGTGAACTCAAATGCCGACAGAGCTTCAAATGAGGATGTTGCTGGCTTTTATTGTATGATTTATTACCTTGGATTTTTTATATGAGAGTTAGATAACTAATTTGTAAATATTAAAAAAATTAGTTGAATTAACTCTTTATAATAAACGGGTGATATCTTTACTAAAACATTATTATTAATCATGTGTATTAAAATAGAGCCTTTTTACCGTATGCAATCACAGTAGAGACTACTTTGGAGAAAAATAAATAAATACTTCTCCCGTCCTAAATATAAGACCCATTTTATAGTGTAAATTACACTACAAAATGGGTCTTATATTTAGAACCGAAGGAGTATGTGATATAAAGTAGATATGAGTCTTATATTTATAACTAAATTGAATCTCTAGCTAGTTTTTTTACAACTAAATTGAATATCTAACTAGCATTTTTTATTTAGCACAAGAGGTAGTATAGTTTTTAGCAACACAATTACACGGGCATATAACAATGAGGACGTTTGATGTATCTGGCTCTAGACTTCTAGTCTTTAACAGATTTGTTGCTGTCATTCCTTTTTTTCCCCTCTCTTACCCTACCTTTTTTTTTTCCATTAAAAAAGTTCAGATGAGTTATGTTTTGGAAGCTTATTAGGGTCAAGACATACATTCAGGCTTAGAGAGCATTGATAGAGATATTTACAAATCATTTATCAATAAGATTTTTATATCAGCGGAGAGATTCAAACTGACAAATTTATCACTTATAAGCCAACTCACTCAATACTAGATACACCAACTCTTGCCATATGCGTTGTGATTCATCACTCTGCATTTTTAGATTATCATGGCCTGCTTGGACTTAGGTATCCCATCATGGGCAGCCCAACTCAAAAACAATTTGTAGAGCCCAACATCTCCATCCTTGTTAAAATTTGTTGACAAACCAAAAATATGACACATCACGAGTAGCCTTCTCAGTAAACTTCTCTCAGGAACAATCTGTCAGTAGACACACCATAAGTGGCACATTGTAAATTTACGAAATTTTTGGGGGGAAGAAATAAGCAATGAGTTTTTTCTCTGTTTTTTTGGCCAACAAATAAATAAGCAACCCGATGAGTTAAATTTTACCTTTTAAAAAAATTTTCAAACTGAGTCAATGATGTTAAATAATCATTAGGGTCTGTTTGGTATGAGGAAAACGAGATAAAGAAAAAATTTTAATATGCTTATTTTAAAAAATTAAAGTAGTGGGATTAAAATTTTTTTATTAATTTTAATTACTTTTTTATCTTATATTTTTTCTTTATTAAAATTTTATAACCCCACTTCTTCAATTTTTTAAAACAAACTCATTAAAATTTTTTTCCTCCTCCCTTTAATTTCACTCATTAATGGCAAGGAATTCTGATTAACAATGGACTCAAAAGTATAATTTTTTTATATCTTTGATGTTAGGCTTATTAATTAGACTAATGTAAAAATTTCTTTGAAAGATTTTGCGTTTGTTAAGTTTTTATTGAAAAATTTATTAACAAGTCTAAAACAGAGACGCATTTATCAGTATTGTTTGTGCCAAATCCAAGGGGTCCGATTTATTTATTTAATGAAAAAGGTGTCAGATTAACCTTAACCTATTGTTCTTTGATCCTCCCAAGTAACGGCTACTTCACCGGGAAATGCCGGTGAACCACCGCAACGGTCAAATTTCTTTTCAATACTAAGCTCCGAAGCATCACAACGCTCTCATCTCCCTCTCCTCTTTCTATATATGTCATCTCTTCCTCGCACACATCTTCATCGGACCAACATTCTTTTCCCACAAAGTCACTTACTTTCATCGAATCCGCAGATTTCTGCCTAGTTTACTTTCCACTTCTTCCATCTCTCAAAATAGTCTGAAGATGAATAGATTGCTTCTTCTCTTCGTACTTGCTCTGTTTGCTTCCGTTTCTGTTTCTGTAGAAGGAGACAATGCACCTTCTCCTTCACCGAACTCATCATCTAATCCGCCCCCGCCGGGGACGGCATTGCCGCCCTCTCCAGCGTCTTCTCCGAAGAAATCTCCCCCGTCTCCTAAGCAATCCCCTGCAAAGTCTCCGGCTTTATCGCCGCCTTCGGCAAGTCCGACCATTTCTCCATCTGGGTCTGCCTCGTCGCCGGCTTCAACCCCTTCCGCGGACTCCCCTTCTTCGGTGTCTCCGGCTTCCAGTCCGTCTTCGAATGGGTCTTCTCCGGTTTCATCCCCGCGTTCTCCTTCGCCGACGGTTGCATCGCCTGTGGCTACCCCGGCGGCGACTCCAGTGAGCAGCCCAGTCGGGGCTCCGCCAGTGGCCGAGGGACCTTCCACCGCGGCAACTCCTGAGTCTTCTGCAAGTATTCCTTCGAGTTCGGAAACTCCATCGGGCTCACCAGTAACCCTTCCGTCAAGCAGAAGTTCACCGGTGATGGCGCCGGCGAGTTCATCTCCGGAAGCGAGTCCGGCAAGCGATGAATCGGGTGCAACTTCAGCATATGGGTTTTCGGTTATTATGTTTAGTGTGGGCCTTTTGTTTTGCTCCGTCCTGGTCTTGTGACTGTGAGGCAGGGCAGTTTTGGTCATATATCACTCTGTTTTATTTACTTTTTAATAATTGTTTTTCTGTTTGTATTTGTTGAACAAAGTCCTTCCACTGATTCAAGAATACTTATTTATTTGATTCAATTCTTATTGTGTATTAATTTTTATTTTCCTTTTCTTTGCATATTATATTGTCCTTCAAGCATGAGTTTCCTGCAGGCTGAATTTAATCATATCAGATTGAAGGGTACACACCATGAACAGTTACATGAATTAAATTTATCATTTATTATCTAATTAACTTGATTGATATTTTCCACTAATTAATAATTTCATAATTTAAAAATTATTTAAATTAAGTTCAATCCATTGGCCAAAGAAAAAGAAAAAAAGTCCAATCCAGCTTATTGTATGGGGAATCCATAATTTCACCATACGCGCACCGGATTCATAGTTAAATCTTGATTACGCGCACAGGATTCATAGTTAAATCTTGATTTGGGGGAATTAAGCAATTTTTTGTTGCTAGTGGAAGTGAAGATTCATAGGTATCAATTTTATGGTTGGAAATTGGAAAATCATTTCCTTCACGCTTGTTAATAAATATATTACGTCGTGGTTTAATGCATTTGTTATAATATCAACATCATTAATCCGGCTACAATTCTGAACAAGTTAAGGAGCAATTGGGTGTGGTGAAGCTAGCATTAAAACTGTGTTTGATGGTCACTCAAATTTAAAAAATTTATTTTTTCTAAACCAACATTTTTGGTATTACATTTGATGTTATACTAGTTTTTGGTACTCTCAAACTAATATTTGATATTATACCAGTTTTTAGTACTCTCAAATTAATATTACCTTCCGTCTTTAATATAAGAGTTAGTTAACTAATTTGAGTAGATTAAAAAAATTAATCAAATTAGTTATTTATAACAAATATATATTGTCTTTTCTAAAATATCTTTACTAATAAAACGTATTAGCTAGAATTATTATTATTACAAAGAATATTTTAGAAAAAAATAGATAAATATAAGAGACAAAGTGGACTGAGATATTATATTTATGACCAAAATAAAAGTCAAACAAACCCTTATATTAAGGACTGGAGGTAGTAGTTCTTAATCAAATTTTAATTCTCTCAACACCACATCTTATAGTCTTGTTTCTCTCTTTTCTCATCTTTTTTTTTTGGCAAAGTAAAGGCATCCTCCTATTAGAGGCAATCTTATGCAAAGCATTGTCGGCCACTCAACAAGAATTTAAATATTGGTTCGTTATGTTACGAGAAATTAGCTCATGATGCTAGACCCAATTCCTGTTGATTTTCTTTTTCTTTTTTTACTTTTACCTTTATAGAACTAGGTTCATGCAAATTAGATGTGCAATTTTGGTAGTCATAGTTTAATACTGAACTTTAGATGACGATCTTTTGTTGTTTCTGGTACGACTAAGTTTAGCAAGGGAGTGCAAGTCCTAGGAGATTATTACTATATCCTATTCATCCTCATTTTGGTCTAATTATGAAAAATTCTAAGGTTGACTTGTAGACTTGCTTGCATGTTACTCATTGTTTGTTGGACTGAAGAATTATTATGAGGTCTCAAATAAAAAAAATAATTACTAAATTTTTTTAATAATAAGTGAACAGTTGAAACCTATTGTCATTTCTTACTCATATAGCTTGTTATTACTAATTCTCAATTGTTTTTTGATGACTTTTTTGTGGAAATGTTTATTTCTTGGAATCTTATTACAATTTTCCTTTTGTTTATTTAACCTACCTCTATATCATAGACCTATTTTATGCAAGAATTTCTCCTTTAACTTGATTTGTACGACTGTTGAGACACTTGAATATGAGTGTAAATTGATGGCTTTCTATGTTTTTTCTTTAGGTTTACATACTGTATTAAGACTCCCAAGAGTTTATAGAGGCATTACTAGGTCATTGGACAATTAGGATATGAGGTTTAAGTTGTCTGAAATTAAACACACTTTTTGACTCTAATCTAAGTTGATAATGCATGACTGATTAATATATATACTTTGATATTGCAAGAGCTAAAATTTGAGATGAGAATATTGACTATATAGAACAGTAATTTTAAATATAAGAGTTAGCTGAAAATTAGATTTGGCCCTAGGTATAGGTTGAAGAAGGAACATGAAGAAAAAGAACCCAAACAAAAGGAAAGGCATCCCACCCTTTTAGTATTATAATGGTTTTTAGTTTTTGAAACTTTGTTTTGGGAAAACTAATATATTTTTACGACTAGTTGTTATAGGAGAGGTTGAAAAAAGAACATCAGGAAAAAAGAACACCAAAAGAAACAAAAGGTTGAGGCTTATTTATAAGCTATAGTAATGGTTCTTAATTTTTCAACTTTTATTCTTAAGAAATTGTTCTTTATTGCACAACCAATTATTAGAGGAGAGGTTGTAAAAAGAACATGAAAAAAAAAAAAGAAATGCCGAGACTTGCCTTTATATTATTGTATATTTGTATTGATTCTTAGTAGGGGTGTTCATGGGACGGGACCGGACCGGGACAGGCCCGTCCCGATCCCATCCCAATGAACAGGGACGGGACAGGGATTTTGTCCCGTGTCCCGTCCCGTCCCGTCCCGGTCCGACGGGACCGGGACATCCCGCTTTCCCTTTTTTTTTTAAAAAAAAAAGATACCATAATTTTTTATATGAATTTTTTTATGTTATAATACTTATTTTTTATTGGACTTTTAAAGATAAAAACATTATAAAAAATATTATGTAGAAAGCTTAATTATATAGCATAAAAAAGGTGTAAAAATAATACTGTAAAAAAAAATACCGTGAAAAAAATACTATATAATGACTTTATGAATTATTTTATTGAGGAAAGAGATTTTGTTGAGATAAAACTACAACTTAAGAGCTACAAATCACAATAAAAATAAGAGTTATTATTAATAAGTAAATTGAATAATCTAATAATAATTATTAATAAATAATTTTTAAAAGAAAAAAAATCCCGGGACGGGACGACCCCGTCCCGCGTCCCGTCCTGTCCCAGTTACTGTCCCGTCTCGTCCCGTTTTTGTCCCGTCCCAAAATTTTTTTTGTCCCGTCCCGAACTCACCGGGACCGGGACGGAACAAATTGAACACCCCTAATTCTTAGTTTTCCAACGTTTATTTTGGTGAAGCTTATTCATTTTGTACAATGGGCTACTGTAGAATAAGTTGAAGAAGGAACAAGAGGAAAAAGAACACAAAAAGGAGGAAAAGGTTGACGCTTACTTATAAATTATTATAATGATTTTTAGTTTTCCAACCTTTATTCTTGAGAAATTGATTCTATTTGTGCAACTAATTGTTGCATAAGGGTTTAAAGAAAGGAGATGAAGAAAAATAACACAAACAAAAAGAAAGGCCAGTGCTCACCTTTATATTATTATATCTTATTTTTCAAACCTTTATTCTGGGATAACTGATTTACTTTTACAATTGATTGTTGCAGGAGAGGTTGCGGAAAGACGGAAAGAACATGAAGGAAAAAACACAACAAAAAGAAAGGTCGAGGGTCGAGGCTCACTTTTATACTAATATAATGGTTCTCAGTTTTCCAACCTTTATTCCTGAGAAACTAATCCTTTTTGTACAACTAATTGTTGCAGGAGAGATTCAAGGAACAACATGAAGAACAATAATACAAACAAAAGAAAAAGGCTTGGTTAAGTGTCATGTTTTAATTTGTTTAGGGTCATTTTTGGGTTTTTTTTTTTTTTGGGGTTTTAACCTCTGGATCTTGGTGCATAGTTGGACATTAAGTGTTACTTTCCTTTCACCTTAACTGTTGTTGACTGAATCCTTGAAAAGATAATCGCTCGCTGGAAGTATCCCAGCATGTCGTCTGATTTGTGTGTTTGGTGGTTGGAAATCTGAGTTTTAGCATTTTTGTTAGGATAAAAATGGAAAAAAAAATTTAAATAGCTGTTCTAGTGCATTTTTGCTGATATTTCTTGGTTGTTTTGAGTCAGTTTTGCTGTTATTAACTGTTCATTATAACGATTGCTTAACCAAGTCGCACATTTGCACCAATCTTGACCAAAAGGAAAAAGAAAGTCATAGATTTGAATTTTCAACAGAGAAGTTCATTATGCTTGTTCTGTTATTCTAAGAACGATGGCTTGTTGTGGAGCCATTCTATGGATCTGAACATGAGTTAGAAATCTGAGCCTTCTGCTGTTTCAAGTCATTCTTGAGTACGCTAGCCTAATTGTTCTTGCTGTAATTGAATTCAGTTGGGGATTGAGTTGCTTGCTGTTTCTGAGCCTTAACTGAACATTCATACTTGCTGGTGCGGTTCTACAACCAACTCATACCCACTTTGTAGTTAAATTGCTGTCACTGTGCTAAATACACATATTTCACACCTGCTATTAATTGATGATGCATTTTGCTGTTATGGTGCTTCAAATTTTCATTTGGAATTATCATATATTACCTTGTTTTAAATTCATTCTTCTGACTTCTCTGAAATTGTCTGTTACGTGGCCATTGTGCTTAACTGAATCTGTGCATTCCACTAGCTCTTGATCTTGAATTGAGCATTGAAGTTGCATTAGCATTCTTGAAAAGTTGATCACTATCAATAACATGTCACTATCAATAGCATGCAAGCTAAGTACCTATCTCTCTTGCCTGCTAGGTGTCTAACTGACTTAAGCTACTGTTTACACGTATCAATGAGCTTGAGAATATATCAAGTTCTGAACTTGCATCATTTCTGCAAAATTCTTGCTGTCACGCTCAACGTATTTCTAGGTGCATCTGTTTGGATTTATTCACCTGTTTCTGTGGTTAACCAAGTGCCTTCAGATTCCCGAGAGTAACATAATGCTAGGATTAGATTGAAATTTTCTGTCACTGTTGAACTTGCTGATGTTGCTGTCGTATTTGGCTGGGACTGAATTTCTTATATTCTTGATTGTTGATATTGCAACTGGTCCAGATCTTATCTGAATCCATCTCTGAACCTCGGCATCATCATATCACTTTAAGCACAGTTATACTTCATTCAAGTATCAATTAAACAGGGCTGTCAGTGTGTCTGGTGTTAGAAGTCTTGACCATCAGCTTTCTGTGCGTTCGTTTTGTATATAATCAGCCTCTTCATACCTTTCTCATTCTACTCGCAGAGTAAGCATCTAGTAGTGTTTACAGGTGCGGGAATATCAATTTTCTGTTGTATACCTGATTTCAGAGGCCCCAAGGGAATTTGGACGCTTCAGGTGATCAGCATGTTCTGTAATGGGTTTTGACGTGCTGTCCTGTTTTGACCTTTGGTTACTCAAAGATACTAGAAGGAAGTTAATTGAAGTCTATACTGTTCCAACTATAGTTTATTTAAATACTCTACTTGAAATTGTTTTGAACCTTTAAAAGGGGTCAGTATACCTCCTCTAGCATATCTTAATGAATTTGTTATCTAACAAGGAAAAGAAAAGGCACATGTTCAGATAAATATTTTTCTACCCCAGTGAGTATGGCATTCATCAAGTCTATCTGCTTAATAAAATCATATACTTATGCCCAGATCTGACTACTGGCTTATTGTCTGGCATTATACGATGATATCACTTGTTTTGTTTGATGTAAAACAAATTTTACGTTGTTACGTCAAACACAAAAAAGCTGTTATTTCACTACTGTTTGAAAGGACCTGCTTTTTCAGTCTTTTATTGCCCTTTTGCTTATCTTGATACTTCATGCTATTATTTGAGTAACCAAATCATTGCCTGAAGCATCTCTGCCATTTCATCGTCCAGTGCCAAGCTTGACTCACATGGCCCTGGTAGAATTAGAAAAGGCTGGTATATTAAAGCTTGTTATCCGTCAGGTAACAGCACTGCATTTTTGTTTAAATATACATTTTTGTCATTTGTATGCATTACAACAACTTTCTGTTCATTAGTAATTGGATCCATCTATATTATTTTGATAAGCTCATCTATTTTTGTATGCAGAATGGTGATGATCTCCATCTTCGTTCTAGAATACAAAGGGAGAAACTAGCAGAATTGCATGGGAACTCCTTTATGGAAGCATGCCCTAAACTGGGATATAAATAGCAATAAAAATCCTAAATGATATTAAGATTGATGGAGCAAACGCTACTAGTTGAGCAAAATAAGAGCAAACATACGTTTTTACGCTGAGTAAATTTTTATTTCATAATTTTTATATTTTAATAGTTTCTAGTTAGAAATGTTATCATTGTAGATTCTGTTAGAGACATAGCTCGAATAATTTTGCTATATCATGCTCAAGATATCGAATTAAATCCATCATACATAGTCTAGGACGATGCCTATCTGAATTATGTCTTCTATGCTTTCTGTTGAATATTTTTTCCCAGCATCCAAGAACAAATATCTCTTCAAGGATATCCACCCAGCTCCTTTGTACAAAATCCGCCTTAGACCACCTTTTTTTGGGCCTCTGCATTGTCAGAATTTATGTATTTTCTCTATTTATAGTTTATATGTTAACTATATTATAAGCCTATTTTTATGACTTGAACCTCTTAAGGTACTTTCGAGATTCTGAGGCTGAAACTAGTGAGTTGAAGGAGACATCAAGGTATTGTTCATATGATAAACGTCAAAAAGTTCTCAAGGATGCAGTTCTTAACTGGGAGGTACTCCTTTGAAAATTTTTGTAGCCGTGCTTGGCAAAGCTTTGCTTTTAAAGGCCCTACTTATTTACTATGGGCGTGTTTGGGATTATGTTTGGGGCCCCAAACGTGTATTCCAATTGAAAAATAATGTTTGGACCCATGTTTTGTATATCACTTCTGGCTTTGAAATGGACTTATGCAATAAGCTATTTGAGGCTGCTTTTTTTTTTCGGTGGATAGAACGTTGCAGGAATACGGTTAGAGCATTAATTGGGTTTTAAAATTTGTTACCTACTTGACCCTCTTGCATGTATTTTCTCTCACCTGAGGTAAAAAAACAACGAAATACAACACTCTTCTACCATTTAACCACATCTCCCCAATGTTCTGCCATATCCCCATTGTGTCCCAGCCGTCTTCCGACGTGTTCCTGTTGTGTTCTACTGTGAAGTCGTTCTGGTTCCTGTGCGGGAGTTGCTACACTGTGGTCTTCTTAATCCGTTCGTTTGCTTCTTCTTCAGTGATGCTGTTGCAAGCATTGGTCGCCGTCCGTTCCGTCGCTGCTGCCAGATCTTGTCTCCTTATTTGGAATTTTTGAAATTCACCAATATTTTTTTTGGGATTCTCCCTTTATTTTTTATTGAATAAAATGACAGCTTTTAATTCTCTCTCTCTCTCCAAGTTATCTTTTTCCAAATCTTTCCCAAAACAATATGTATAAACCAAAAAAAAAGAAAAGAGAAAGACAGCAATGACAGTGGGTGAAATGATGTTCAATCGTGACGCTCTATACAAAACACAACAAAAAATAGCTTCTGCTCCATCATACGATAGGGAATAAAGTAACTTTTGAGCTATCGTTGTGCCAAACAGAATAAAAGTGTCTAAAGTGGCTTTTGAAATGAAATAAGTCAGTTTGAAGCCTTCTAACGTGATCCCAAACACACTCTTAGTAAAATTTTGTGTCAGCAATTACATATAGTGGGTGATGGTTATAGTTGGTAGATTTGTTCAGTACATACTCCTTATTAAAAATGGTGAACTCTTGCTGTAGGTCAAATCTCTATGGTTGATTGCCTTCAAGGTGGGTGGATCATGTAAAGAATGAGTTGCCATGTAGTAGATAAACAAGCTGTTATTTGTTTGAAGCTCTATGCCCATTTATTAATGGGCATACTAGATTTAGTTGTCTGACTTGGAAGCTCTGCTTTTGCAACACTTGCTTCTGATTGTTCAATAAATAATATGCCATCAGATGGATATAAACTCTAGAACGATGGAGTCAGAACACACAGTCTAGCATATGTAAACTATGAGGCGTAGGAAATAATAAACAAAGAAATTAAAAGGGGATGCTTTTCATTTTAAGAAAAAAATTATTTTGAGAGCTGGTTGATGCTGTTAATTTAGCCAACTTGTCTTTGAACTAATCTAACCAATAAAGTGGTGCGGACTAATTGTTGGTTTCAGTCGGTGACGCTGTGAAGTAGATCTGGAAGAAAATTATCGTGTCCTGGCCTATGGATTGTAATCTAGCTGACATGTTCAGGAGGATCACGTATTTCTTTGTTTCCCGTGAGCACGTCTCTTTGTGTATGGACAGGAGAAGCTGCCTGTAAAAAAGATGGGTCCTGCAGAGAAAGATTGCCAAACTTTCTTCTGCTTCTTGTTTCTTTATCTGTTATTTCCATGGGATTCAAGTCACCTAGTGTGTGTGTGTGTGTTTTTCTGTTGAAATCCAGAGAAAACTACAAAGGACAAGAAGGCCAGCATGGTCATCTATGGGCTATTAGATGAGGTAGTTTCATCTGAATCCTTGAGTGCAGAAGATCTTTTCTTTTTGCCCCTTTTTTCAGCAAAAATTATGCAGCTCATGCAACCTATGACAGACCTTTTTTTGGGCCGGAGAGAGGGGGGTTTCGCATTAAGAATAATGATGATGTAACCTTAGTTCTGTGATAAATTTTAACGGGAGAAGTCTATTTGAAAGTTGAGAAACCTACCTGCTTGTAGGGTTATAACTAGTAACAAATGCAAAACTGCGAAGTTTAACCAAAACAATTTAAAGAGTTGGTTATTAACTGTTGTCTTTTTTTACTGCCCTTGCATTTATATGAATCTGAACTGTTCTATATGTTCTTGTTTTTCTTGAATAATTTGTTTCCCTGTTATGGGTTTCCGCAATTTACCTTTATGGTAATTCGAACTGAAGCAGGAAATTGGAGAAGTCATGAACTTGCTCAGTCTACAGAACCCTCCGTTTGCCAGGATTGATATTCTCCAGATCATTCTAAAATGGTAACCATCATTCAATTCTAATGTATTTACATTTTCCTTCTTTAGCTTTGTATATTGACATGAATCTATACAATAGCATGACAACTCCACTGCTCTACGATAAACTTACAAGGCTTCGAATGAAGGACCTTATAGATTGCATATCATGTCAAACTTCATATTCACTGGGCTGGACGAAGTTTCATATCAATAAAATTGATATGTCAGCATATCTCTTCATTGCTAGTTATTATATTTGTACTTCTGGCAACTGATTTGGTCCTGTCTGTGAAAATTACTAGCCTTTTCATAATCCCGTAATTCTAGGTTGCATAAGTTTAGCCCTTACATAAGCCTTATGTCCTTTCACATAGTTCCTTCAGTTGAATCCCAGATAAAAGATATACGTGTGAACTGGACTCTCCAGGTTGCAAGTGCATCAGGGCAGAAAGATGAATTGCCACTTATCAAGTCCGCTGAGGTAAGTTTATGCTTTGGAACTTCTCATGGTCGTTTCTTCATCTTTGGCTAAGTCACTTCTTCTGCTGTTTTGGACTGAGATTCACTTACAATGTGCGGTTACAATTGACGCGACGGCGAGGGACTTTGAGAAGGTTGATTGCAGTGGCAGCGACACCGTTAAGGAAGATGAGTTTAAAGTCGGAGACGAAAGGTCCTGCTAGCCATCGCCGGTGGTCTCAGATCTTCTCCCATCCAAATAATTCTCGAAGATGACAATCAAAGTTTCCTTCAGAAAGCTCACTGCTTTCTCTTTCGTAATGCAACTGTCAACGGCTCTTTGCTCTTTGATGGCAGTTATGAGTCGTTTCATCCCCCTGAAGCCGAAGGACCAAGATTTTCATACTCGCGAGTTTAACAGAAACGGAAATATAAGAAAAATGATAATAATCTTAGGAAAAAAAAAAATTGTAAATAAGAACCCGTTTTTACAATAATTGATAAACAAATGATAATAATTTTTGCAAACGGGTGCTGTATGCAATTTTTTAATTTTTAAAATTTTTTTACGATTTTCCTATAATTTTATTTAAATATATTTTAAATCTAAATAATTGAAATTAAACTCATTAACATTAATAATTTACCATATTTAACAGAAAATTTTTTATGAAATTCATACATAAAATCATCAAACATAACTAAATCAAAAAATTTAGTATGAGAATTGGTATGATTTTATAAACTAAAAATATAAAAATAATAAATTTAGTAAGTCAACTCATAAATTCAACGAAATTTATAATTAACAAGTTTAAGAATGAGTCAATATGATTTTATATGCTGAAAACTGAGAGAGTCAATAATAATAATATTACAAAGAACACTAAAAAGAAAAAAAAATTTAAGGACACGGAAAAAAACATGGGGACTGAAAAATTAGTTTTCCTTAAAATAAAACAATATCACTTTATCCTTGTCCCACTTTTCCTTGCGTCCTCCGTAATTTCTTCGATGGCCAGGTCAAGCTTCCTTTCTCCAATGGCATCCATCAACCTCTCACACAAGCCACTTCAATCCTCCTTCCTGTTTTCCCGTGGACATCCCTCTCTTCTCACTCTAAACAATCTTCCCAATAAATTCAGAAATCCAAGTCAGTTCAGAAGACTTGTGATCGCCAAATCCAATGGCGACGACGACTCAGCTGACCCTTCGGACCGTTTGATTTCAGCCCTTTGTTATTTCTATCCTTTCTTTGACGGTATACAATATGGGAAGTACGTAATCACTCAGGTTTATCCTGTTCAAGCTATCGTACAGCCACTAGTTCCCGCAATAAGAGTGTTCAAGAGCTTCCCCTTCAACGGGTTTCTAGTGTTTCTGACTCTTTACTTTGTTGTTGTGAGAAACCCTAATTTTAGTAGATTTGTGAGGTTCAATACGATGCAAGCCATCGTCCTTGATGTGCTGTTGATATTCCCTGACCTTTTGGAGAGAAGCTTCAATCCAAGAGGTGGGTTGGGCTTGGATTTGATGATGAGTTTGGATAGCACTGTGTTTTTGTTCCTATTGGTGTGCTTGATTTATGGTTCTTCTTCTTGTTTGCTGGGTCAAGCCCCTAGATTGCCTATTGTTGCTGAAGCTGCTGAGAGGCAAGTTCTTTGAATGCCCATTTCCTTTAATTTTATAGCTATGTTATCATTCTCAACTTGAACCTAGTTATCAGAAAACTCATCTTTTTTATTTTCCCTGTAAGCAGGCTCAAGTAATGTAAGTTAGCTTTAATTGTTTCTTTAGTCATTGTATTCTTACAATACTTCCCACATCAGAAAATTCTTATATATATTTGAATCTGGTGTTTATTTGACACGATGGAAGACTGAGAAATGCTGCATCTTTATTTGGATTGAATTTAATATTTTCTATATCTGTTTCGACTGAATGAATAGGGTGGCATTTTGGCCATCTTACATAACTCTGGGCTCTGAAATAAAGGAAAACTAAGTTGATTGCCAAACATGATGTCTCATTGCATTATAAATAAGGCATTTACTGCATTCATTGACTCATTGTTAGCTTTGGGCTGCATATATGCCATTAGTAAGAAACCAAAGTGTAGTTCTTTTATTTTATTTTATTTTTTTTTAAATGATGTTTTAAGTTGGGGAGCTGTGTGTCAAGCTGAACGGAAAAATTTGCTAATCTTTGTTGATCGTCATACTGTGTTAGCAATAGATACTAGTGGCGTGATAGAGAGAAGCTGAGGTGCATAGAGTTAGAGAGTTGCTTTACCTGTGCTATTGTCTTTTCAAAACATCCCACAATTCGTTTTCACATAGACTTGTTACCGTTTAAAAAAATCACTTCCTGCATATATAAATAGGAATCTTTCATTTTAAAACGAAACAAAACAATGGAAAAAGATTATGTTCTTTCGCCATCAATATAAAGTACATAACAATAACCTTGAAAATGCCAATAACGAAATGCTATTGCCCTCTGTTGTTGTTTTTTAAATGAGTTATACTGCTTCTAAGTTCCTTAATATGGATGGCGTCAGTGGTATTTTCTGATGTTTGCATCAATGGAAATTCTGTGCTGCGTAGGTTTGTTTGAAATCTTGTTGGATAGGAGAAAATTATATTAAGTGGCAGGGAAATGCTTGAAATGAAATTTGTGATGACCATTAACACCTCCCTTTGTTTGATAACGCGTCTGTTTATATCATGGATGATATATGCTATAGTTATACCTTCAGATGCTGTTTGGTTCACTTTTTTTTTTTCCTTTCTCTTGTATTTTCTTGAAAACACTTTCGTCAAGAAATTAAATTTACTTGTTTGTCATATGTTTCTAAACAAGGTTTCCAGAGAATTCCAAGTTCCCATGGCATTCATTATTTTCTCACTCTTTTTAGTTAACTTAATCCTACTTATGGCCATGGGATTTTTGATTCCCGGGTTCCTTTTCTCTTTGCTTTTTGTTGGTCATTTTATCTCTTTGATCTTTCCTTCAAGTCTCAAACTCCTTTCATCCATGTTTGCCCCCGGTTCTTTCCAACATCCTCTTTCCTTTTGTCTGAACTTTGGTGGAGCTTCTTGTGTTGAGATTAGCAGGTGATTATGTGGCAGAGCATATCAAGGTAAGCAAAGTAAAAATAATCAGTTCATCTTTGTTGTTCTGGTTTGTTCTGGTCTTATCCTATTTAATTGGGTAATCGTGCTGGGAGATAGATCAGACAAGCCATCTCCTCTGCGATTCCAAAAAAGTGACAGCCCTCTGTATCCATGGTTCCCAAAGATAAATTATTGCTGGAAGAAGTGGAATAAATGCACTAAGAGTCCAAGTCACTGAGTAATGCAAGTGTTTGTTAATGAAACAAAAGAAGCCGTGAAATTGCAGCAGTTGAGCTCAGCTGCAAAAATTTAGTTTGAGACGTTTTCTGGTGACGTAGTTTAGGATTGTCAAAGACAACATTGATAAAATATATGGATATCCAATGCCTGGGCCTAAATTACATGGTTGACTATTCTTTGTGGTAAACTAAAAATATTTATGCCAAACAGCACTTAAAGTCTGAACTGTTCTGTCCTCTATCTGGCTTTGTAAAGCCTAAGAGAAATTTTGGATGAGGAGATTGATCATAATGAAGTGAGTCCTAAGTTGAAATTACTGGTGAGAAAATGTCTTGAAATATGCATGACAAGAAGGGGTTAGCAAATATTTCTATTTTCTTGAGAGTTCTTTAACATAGGTAACTTAGGGTGATGAACGAATATTAAATTTTGCATATGAAGTTGTTGTTACCAATTATAGGTTCTGTTCGGTAAAAGCCAAACGGAAGAAAATAAGAATCAAGAATCCTTTGTTTTTGCTGATGCATTGATGCAAAGGCAGTCTTTTTACTAGCAAGCTGCAGAAAAAAAAAAACGACATCCTGCAATAGTGATGGTATTCAAGCTTTATCATGGAATCTGAGGCATGAAAAGAATGTCAACATGCTAGTTCTTAGTTTCTTTTTCAAGTTCATTCTCCCTGGAAGCCTTTTGTCCTATCCATCTCTGTTATTGTGTTGATTACTTCTAGTATTAGCTAGTATCCAGCTAAGTATACGCTCTTATATTAAGGACCAAATGTGCTATTATTTATAGTTTGGAAATAAGTCTTTGTAAAATGAAGAACTATCTTGCATTGATATGTGTCAAATTACTGAAAACAATAAGGTACGGAAGTAATCATTCGGAAATGATTTGTGGCAAGATTTTGTTGCCCTTTGACCTGCTTTTATAGTCGGAGCAATGTTCGTTCAACTCGGTTGGAATTGCAAGGTAGTGAATGAAAATGAAAAAAATTCAAAAAAAAAACTCCTTTAATCCTTAATATAATACTCTTCTGGTCTTTAATATAAGATCCATTTAACTAATTTGATTAGATTAAGAAATTTAGGTAAATTAGTTAATTATAAGAAATATAACACTTTTTTCCTAAAATACAATAATCATCTTTTTAATACCTCATCTCCCTCTTGTATTTGGTTATGGTTTGGGGAGTATCTATAGGGGTAATTTAGAGAAAATTGATAAATATGAGAAATCGGTCTTATATTTAGGACCAAAACCAACTCAATAATTGGGTCATATATTAAAGACCGGAGGAGTACCTATTTAACTAATTTAATTAGATTAAAAAAGTTAGGTAAGTTAGTTAATTATAAAAATATGACATGTTTTTCCCAAGACATCATAATAATCTGTTTTAATATCTCTTTTTCTTCACTTATTTGATTATGGTTGAAGGGGTATTTATAGAGGTAATTTAGAAAAAATTGATAAATATGAAAAATAGGTCCTATATTTAGGATTAAAAATTAATTTAACAATTAGGTCTTATATTAAGGACTGGAAGAGTACCTCTTAAATTTTAAAAATCTCAAATAAAAAATTATTTAAAAAATGTGTTGTCTTAAAGGGTGGTCAATTATTATTAAAGTATAGTAAACAAGACTATTTTGAAATTTTGAAACTGTAGATGTATTTTGTGGGGGATTTTTTTTCGAAAAAAATATTTGTTTCATTTTGATAGTGCGGGTTCAAAAATACAAAGAATGAATCTCTAAAACTTTTTCTTTTCATGCCTATTATAATTTTTATCTTGTTTTTATTAAAAACTGGATGATGGTCGAAGGATGATCCAGGGACCATATAGCCTTTGCAAGTAGACATTGGTGTCATCCTTAATTAATGTAGTTGGTAGTTGCCTTTTCATGAAAAAATTATACTGCTTCCTATGTTTTATATAAGAGCGGGTTGACTAATTTGAGTAGATTAAGGAAGTTTGTTAGATTCATTATTGTAAGAAATATGTATTATCTTTTCTAAAATATTCACTAATCATGTGTATTAGTTAGAACTATCATTTGATAGAATCTTTAACATAGGTAATTATTAAAAGGACTAGTTTAAAAAAAATGATAAAGATGATAAACAAAGTGGATTGTGGTCTTGTATTTAAAACTAAATTAAAAGTTAAACTAGTGTCTTTTTATATTAAGGACCAGGGGCAATAGATTTTTAACTTTTTAAGGTCTTACAAAATTTCATTATGCAATTTACTTTTAGTTAATCAGGTCATTTTAAAACATCATGATATTAAAAAATCATACAAGAATATTAACAAGTCATAATAAACATTACGCAAAATTTGTGAAAAGGGCAGAGTAGGGCCTAGACTTTGATACGCGCATATATGTTAAATGGGCAAAAAGCCCACTAGTTGGCAATACAACTTGGTTGTAAATCCAAAGCTCAATTGGATATAATGAAAAATTCAGTTTCAAATTTTAGAAACCTTGTAAATTTTTGAAGTTTGGATGCAAATTTCATAAGCTTAATTTTACAATTTGTTTGCATTTATTCTTTTAAGAGTTACAATTAAACTTATGTGATTCATAATTAAGCCGTGTTAGGGACCTTGCAAGTACATCCATTAACTTCAATTTTTTTCAAAGCTTTGATAACTCTTATTTATTTTATATTTTGAGTGCTTATTTGGATACCATAAAAAATCAATTTGGAACATTAAAACCACAGTTTTCTTGTATATTTTCTAAACACCCTCTTAAATTAATTTAATGATGTGAGCACGTTGATAATTTCTTCAATTGAAATTCATTCTCTATCAATTTAATTGTCCTTAGGCTCAGAGATTGAATACCCGACCCCATCAAATAGGTCGGTATCTTTGTTAATTATAAAAAGATAATTATTATAATTAACATATTGCTAAATTGAATAAAAAATGTACAAATGGAGCCTGCATTACTTCTAGCAACAAATATCTAAAAAGTCACACTCAAATTTTAAAATTAAATTGCGACAGCAAAGGTTGAAATCAACATATTTGTCGAGGTTAATGATGAAAAATACATCACCAGCCAGCAAGATTTTGTATTTCCTTCACTGGATTATCTGATTTATATGAATGGTCATTTTAAAATTTTTTTTGTCAAGATAATATTACCTCCAATCCTAAATATAAGAATTAATTGGAGTATTAGCTTTATTTTTAAATGCAAAATTTCTGTTTATTTTATCTTTCAAATTTATACATTTCTTATCCAGCTTTTCTTAATTGCATATAAAAGCGAATTTTTATTAATAAAATAATAATTAAAGGACGTATTTCCAGAGAAATTAACACTTATACTCCTGTGCTCCTATTTACAAGGTAGATAGAGAAGATATTTTTTAATCATATTTATAAGGCACTGAAAAAAACATTTTATATAGATGTATAATTTTACCCTTCATTTATTATTATGTTAATTTTATTTCCATGACGCACAATGCATATTAAATAAAAATAAAGTTAGAAAGTTGCTGAATTTTAAATGAGAATTAATAAAGTTTGAGGTTTTTTGAGT